GTGCATAGCCAGCTACACCGTAACTTAGTCCTCCCTTGTTATTCCATTGTGCCAGGTCACGCCTGAGAAGTAGAGAAACAGCAATAATTATAATACGTTTGTCATAATAGCGTGTTAGGCTTTTGAGCTAGTTAATTTATATGGGAGATTGACGAATTCAAAATTGCGTGCTGGACATTAAACATCATGATATATTTAATATCGAATGTTAAGTATACTTACATGGTGAACGCCATGCCATGGTCATTTTCGATGAGACTGTCATAGTTGTTTTTTCTGTGTTCACACCATTTGTCCAAGGCTTTGTTGTTATCTACCGCTGCCCTGCCCTCATTCGATCCAACCACATTACCACTAAACCACGAGGATTGCCCTGGAGTCTAATGTGATGGAAACAGACAGTTAAGAATTAATACTACTCTTTTTATGAGGTACCTTGTAGAAGTTCAACTTATACTGAACAGATCTACACCCCCGTGGATTGTCTTGCCTTTTCCTCGAGGCAAACATTCTCGGTGAATTTGTCCTTCTAATAGGGGACTAATTGCTTGTAAGCTGGCCCTACACTTGTGAATTGGAATTCTGGGATGAAAAAACAATGAAAAAGCAGATGGGTGAGCGAAAAGGGGGTGTCAATCAATTGTCTTCTTGCTTTGATTATCAAAAATAATTTAAAAGAATAACGAATATATTCTGCCCAAATAACCTTGACTGTTGAGAATCACTACGGACTATTCAACTTGTTTTTGTTGGCCAATGTAACGATTATCTCACATCATTTTACAAATACAACATCAAAGAGACAAGTACACTACCAACAGTTAAAAATATTTTGGGACGGTTTGCCAGATAAGTATTTCTGCAGGGGAATGCAAAAAAGTACGTGCACATGTGAAGGATCGTTTTGAGTATACTGCTGATATAAAACCAACGTACACGCACTGAAAACGATTTCCGGGCTCAAAACGTATTTTAAACAGACTTGGTTCGACTACCGGGCACACTTTTGCATGGAAATCATCCAAGATCATCTATTTATGTGAGAAGTGATAATAGAGTGCGAGTGTGAGAGTGCGAATTGAAATTAAATGAAAAAATGTGCCCTCACCTTCGCGATTAGATAACCAGCCAGTACTACGTAGATATTTATCTCAGGGTCTTGTATATTCTGATAGCGTAGATCAACCTGCAGTGCAAAATAATTGGATTATTACAATTTTACATTACATACCTTTCCTAACTTTAATAGACTATCATCTACAGTGTTCAGCAAATCCAGTAAAACTGCTCGATAGTAAACACGTTAAACATTATCAGTGTACACCAAGCACAAAAACATTAAGGACATCTAAAGTGTGAAATTACACGTTATGGACTTACCCCATTGACAAGAATAGCGTAGTATTTTCTCAGTTCGGTCTCTGCCGCCTGTTGGTTATTGTTATTTCGAGTCATGAAATAATTCCAGACAGAATCATCTGTTGAAACCAACAATTCAACGCCAGCGTTGATGTGGCTACTGCTAAATGTCGTCTGCTTTTTTTGAGCCTCGAGAACTTTCTCAGATTTCCTAGCCTCCACCGTGTCTAGCATTCTCAGTAAACTGCGTAACAAATTGGTCTCACCATTGGTGGCTGTCCTTTGGGCTGGGAGAGGGTGGAGGGTTCGTCTCCGAGTTTCGGCTAGGATAAAAATGCAAGTAACTATATGTTAGACATTCCGAAAATATCGAGGGGTAATTTGTAAGAATTAAAACATGAAATAATGCCCATAAATTCAACATTTTGTCTTTGTGTGAGGTCACAATCAAATCAAAATATGAGACCAATGATTTATTTTAAGCAGTGTTTCTTTATGTCTCTCGTTATCGCAACACATAAAGTTGCCCAGCGCAAGCTCACCCAGCGAAAACGTCTGTATATAGCTTACGCATACACTACACTTTTACTTGCTGCGTTTTTATTTTTTAACTATAATCCTTTGGGATGAAATATATTTAATTAAAACGAATTCAGGGGTGCTGTCAACAGTAGCGTAGCCCAAGGCACTCGCAAGTATAATATACAGTGAATTTATAGCCAACATACAATGCCTCGCACCAAAAAAAAAAAAAAAAAAAAAAAAAAAAAAGAGATACAATCACCTGTGTAGGTATCGTCAAAAGAGCGCCTTTCAGGTTCCGCCTCTGGTTTGGGTTTGGGTTTGGGTCTGGATTCCACAGGTTGTCGAATTACAAGGTATTTGTCTTCATCTAAATGGTGTAGTTCAAACATATTGTCCTTGTCGATCACGAATCCTTCCTGTGTGGTTTGACATTACGGGTAAACGATCAGTAGCACAAACTGTCAAATATACATTATAGGTTTAAAAAAAAACAATTACGGACCAAAACTCTGGAATATACAAGGCTGCTAAAATGCAGGTACAATCTAGGAGGCAAAACACCAAAAAAAAAAACTCTCTGTGTGTCGAAAATATATGAACTCACTTGATAGTTTGCAATGACACAATGAAGTTAGATCTAAGGCTGTAAGAGAGACTTACCAAACGTTTACTCATCCCTCCGTCCGTCTTGACGTTTGAAACCGCTACTGCAGCGTTGTTTTTCTTGTCTTGGTAAAGGGCAAAGTTCTGCAAAAAAAAAAAAAAAAAAAAAAAGAAAAAGAAAAAAGCAAGTGGCAATATTGATATTAGTACATGTCTTTCCAAATCCTGATATGAATTGGGTGCGTGGTGTTCTACGGGTTTTCTCCAGCACCATAGGCCCCATTCAGAATAAGGGACTAACTAGTCCGAGGGTCAAATATGGCGATCCACTACAAAGCTTGCCGTCTTATCCGCTAATGGACACTGAACAGATATCCCGTGGGGAAGTATTCAAGTACCTGTAGGTCGGCCATATTTAACCCTCGGACTAGTTAGTCCCCTATTCTGAATAGGGCTATAGACAACTTAATAACCGCCAACCAAAGCCTACCACCACCTCCATAGAGTTAAGAACTACACTGGTGGAAGAATGGAGAACGATGCCTATGGTCCGCATTTGAGGTCTCGCACAGCCTTTGATTAGGAGGGCACTTTCCGGCATAGCAGCCAAAGGGGGGGGGGGGGAGGCACATGGCACTGAGTAACATATAACTCTTTTGACAACACTACTGTATGAAAAAAAGGATATTAAAACCTCGATTGTATATATAATTAAATACTAGTATATACACACAACTGGTGTGTTCGACCTCTTCGCCACTTCGCCATTATCTCCTGCAAAATACACTGGTGCGTTCCTCACGTCAACGTGCTTGTTCTTCTCCAGTTTAAGATCAAACTTTTGGCCGTGAGCGTCGAACTGGTAACGAAGAAAAGGAAGGTGTTGGTCGCCTTCTTCGTCCAGTTCGCGCTGGGCTGGAAATGCTTGGATGTCCGGGGTCAGTGCGCGGATGGACACCACCTCGGCCTCTGGAAAGTGACGGAGCTACTGTTATTTTAAGGGAAAAATATTAGTAAAAGCCTTGGGAGAGAAAAAAATTATATTTACCAATAAGGCCATTGGGAAGATAGATCTTATACGAAACATGTTTTATACCCTCATTAAATAAAGTTTACTAATTTGTAAAAAAAAAAAGTTAAATACAGTTATTACTGGGAAGAATATTAAAAGCATATAGTTATTTACCGGTAAGGATATTAAAAGCGTTGAGTTACACGTATTTACCTGGGAGAATATTAGAAGCATGCAGTTTTTTTTAAAACTGGTAAAAGTTTCAAAATCATTATCCGTAGTCAATCATACGACTACTACATGTATATCTTATGGATACAAAAGATCTCTTTTACATTGCTTCGTTGAATGATGTTAAGAAAGGTCCCATTATTCCTGTACTTTAAACATTATTAATATGCATAGTGTTCATGAAATTTAATAGATTTAAATTGTGCAATAGCCTATATATATATATATATATATATATATATATATATATATATATATATATATATATATATATATATATATATATATATATATATTATTAAGCCATATAAAAATACAATACATAAAGCAAACAAGCGTAAGGTTCGGACTCAAAACGAAAATTAGTTACAAACACTCATGCGCTCTTGTGGTATATTGACTTAAATTACTAATTTCGAAAAGGGTAAAACACTATTTCGCTGTGGCTGAAAGGAATCTTTGAAGACCGATCGTGATGCCAATTATGTTTATTTTATGTCAAGTCAACGACGTTGTTGTTTTTTTAAGAGAAAGCAAAATGGGGTGAGAGTGGAGGGAGAGGGAACATCTTAAGGGATAAGGAAAGACAAAGGAAAGAGAGATTAGTAACCAACATAAGGCAAACTAAACAAACAAGATTAAGGTGTTTCACACCAAAACCAATTTACTTAAAGTATGATGTCAAGAGCTTATTCCTTTTCACACGCTTGGACCACTGCATTGAGCAATACAGTAACACAACGGAGTAATGCATTGGTGAATTCTATATATAGTATATGAGTATATGAGAACATGGTGCGCCTCCTTTTGTTTCCAGCGTGCTCGTGTAATCACCAACATGTATGTGTTCTTACTCACCGCCAGGAGGAGGCGTGTTAATCTGTTAAAATGAGAGTTCCCGCGGATTTGGATCGACGTACACCGATAGATTTAATGGGAATGAGCCCTAAAACGTTTTCACCGTAATATGTACAGTACAGGAATGAATATTGCCTTGCTTTTGTCGCCATTTGTTTCTTATCCTTTTGTGAGAGAGAGAGAGCCGAGGATACAATATTTGCTTTTAGTGTCACACGAATAAGGTCAAGCAATGGTATTTGGACTATTATTGAAAGCTAAAGAATGGACTTTCTTATTCAGCATTGTTATACAGTGTATGTCTTAAGCGTTATCCGATACGTTAGGATTATTAACAAATATATATTGCCGCCCACCAAACACTTAAACAAATAACTCCAAGCCATTAGGTTCTGCCCAGGCCTCAAAACCAACTACAATTAAAGAAAATGAGTAGCATCACTTTATCATTAACATTACACCTGTCTTTCAATTTCAGTAAGGTGAAAATACGTCGCAAAGGTATTAACCTTTCTCTCCACTCTCACATAAACGAATTCTGTCTAGAAATGGATTATAATCCTTTGGTCGCCGAAAATCCGTTTGACAACAAAAATGCAACAAGGGAATGGGATCCCATTGTGTTATTAGTCACGATTCTGCCCCTGGGGGCAAGTCCTTTCAGCTGAAAGGTCTCCAGGTTGTTTGCACAATCAAATTGTGTAAAGTCCTTGGCCCATGATGGCCCATATTATCGTTTATATGGATAAAGATGTATGACGTAACCACGTAACCCCCCCTACAAAAAAAGGGGGGGGGGGTTACACATACAGCGAAGAAGTTGAGCTTTATTTTAAAAACGTGCATAGTGATGGTCGTCGGCTAATGATCTTTCAGCGGTTGTCGAGTTAAAATTCCTGATCCTTCAAATCTCACAGCTTATTTCTTAAGTTTGGGTTGAAAAGGTAAAAATGAATGGGCGCTGAGATTCTTTTGCTGGGCTTCTAACTAGGGGTACACTTGTATAGGGATTTTGTGTTATGGTACATGTGCCAGTACGAAATTTAAAACATTTAAAACAAGCAAGATGGAGATGGTTATGCAATCACTGCAGTTACCTTTACCTTTCGTCATTGATCACTTTTTTTATCTCCACAGAATGTTTTCTTCAATTATTCAAATAAGTGTTGGAAACACACTCACCACATAGAGAAGAATATTTGATTGTTCCGTCTCACTAAGAAATAATTCAACATATCACCCAGCACTATATACTGTATTACTATATTTTGAAGAGGTATGGGAACTACAGAATAACCCCCAAAACGCACCCTCTTCCAGGTACAAAGAGAGAATTTCTTCTCCTAGATTATCACAGATATTTCTCTGTGCATATTTCTGCACTGTGACCAGCAAGAGTTTTGTGCACATTTAACGGGAAACGTCACCATCCGCCAGACCTGTGGTGGAGAGTATCCCAAAACTTGACTCGGGGGAACAGAGTGCAATTATACAGTCCGCTTCCTCCACTCCTTCCAATCTTGAACCCATGATGCGTAGGCCATGAACCCCCGGGTCGAAACTCCAACCTTGTGTGTATAACGTTATTCGACTGAAGAAGTATTCAACGGTCAATGGAAAACCAATGACCGAGATACAGATCTGTTAAGCTAACAGATCCTATGCCATATTGTCGGGTCGGGTCTGTAAACACTGTTATTGCGTAACGTGGGCGCCCCGAGCTCACATAACAAAAACACAAGAAAATAATAAGTCCTATATTAAAGGGAAAACTATACGTGCAGAGCACTCACTTCTGTATATATTGATAATAGATACTGTACATGGTGAGCTGGATAAGACTTAAAAGAGCGACTGAAAATTTGAAAAAGAAAATCTGAAACTTTGCTCAAATTTTCACTGTTTTTGTAACATCAGTCAGTGTCAGTTCAGGAAATTATATCATAGTGTACGATATAATTCCCTGGTCAGTTTTACTTCTGCATTTCAGTGCATGGGTGTTTATCAGAACGAATAGATACACTGCTCTTATTCATGAAGTTAAAAATCATGTTCAGCGAAAATGCACCGGTATTGGCTTCCTTTCTTCTAAATTATATGTCAGAATAATAAAAAGATTTATTTTAGCAGAGAAGAATATTTGACTAATAATAGGCAGTCCGTCAAAGTGATGTGTAAATTTATATAATTCGACTGCTTTTGCCAAAATAATAGTCAAAATGTTTCCATGTAAATCAGTAAAGCTGCTCCTACATTGTAGCAGGAATTACATTGGCAAATTCGCATCTGCCTCTGTCAAGAATATTTTTCATTAATATGCATGAATTCATAAAATGTGAAAAATGTTAACACGCATCTAATCTAGAAAGGTGCACAGGCTATGGTTAAGCATGACAGAGAAATACTTTATGCAACACTGTAAAATCAATGCGCAGTACACATGTGTCTACATGAGCGCTACAATCATAAACTGTATCTACCTGTCTCTGTTTCTGTCTCATCATACGGGGCGGCCAGTAACAGGCTAGTATTTAGAAAAATCACGGATACAACCTTCAGCCACTTCATCCCTGCTGATCAGCCCTGTGCTGTGCACGTCAGTTCCCAGGGACCAGTTTATAGGACTGTAGGCCCACGACGACCGCGCCCTCTGACTTCAGCTGCGTCACGTGTATTGTGTTAGTGCGCTTTTTTCATGGGGTTCGTGTTCATTTACCCATGTAAAAGTGTTCCCGTGTTGACATATAGTACCCTCGTAGTTGTTTGCTAGGCCTGCCAGGCAAACACTGCCTAACTCTTCACAACAATGTGAATCTCCGTCAAAGTAAACAGCAGGGTTTTATGTTTAAAAAACGAACCTGAGTAAAGGTGTCGTCTCTTTATAACTGCACTGATCCATGCGTTTTACTATTATGATCCTGATAATGGCATTACATACGGGCTTCTCATTTGAGGTTTGTTACAGCATTTAATTATTTACCAAGTTCCTATTAAAGTAGCTGTTATTAAAACGACAGTGTTCAATACCAACTATTGGAGATTTAAAAAAAACTGTATAAGTAAACATGTAACTTGAATTTTATAGACATGTCGAAATGTGCTGTACCATTTGATTTACTCAAATTTGTATAACATCTGCATATTAAAATTGGTGTATAATAACTTAATGGAGATTACTTCAGATGTTTGATCATTCGTCTAGTAATACCGTAAAAATGTTGAGATTGGCGAGTTACATGTATATGGATATACGTTCAATAGGATATTTATTTATTTCAATTATACTAAGCCTGAAGCCTATTTTCATGCGTAGTGAACCATTCGGAAGACTGTCATAGATAAAAAATAGATTGCATAATAAATTTGTAGTTTATTTTTATTAGTTTAATATCCACAGCTTTAGCGCGTTTTCTTCGGAAAAAACATCATTTACGCGCAGCAAAGACAACATCAAAAAATGATTTAACTGCGTTTCATCGCAAAGAATTTAAGAATTAAGGTTTTCTGTGCTGTATATTTCATGATATTTGAATTATTGCTTTGAAGAAGATAAAAGGTTAATATCATTTTTTTTTTCGGAGAGAAAATAGCGCATGAAAACTAGAAACCACGACTGGCGTTCACTGCGTAATGCGACAGTTGTGCTTTCCAAATGCAATCTCATACAACCCTCATCTACCGCATGTCTTTTTACCCAGATATTGCGTACAACGATAAAAGCAGGAGAGGGAACGCATGGAGCAAGCAATTTTAACAACCGGCGGGTTATGGCAATGTATAATATACCGAGCAGGAATTGCGTAGTGTGTGGCCTTACAAGTGATAAAACATTTAGATTCACCTTATCAATATAAAAAGTGTGAGAAGTGCGCTAGCTGGAATTCACTTTTGTTTACCATAGGTGATTATCAATAGTAGCAATTCAAGAGATCCGTTGACTGTTAATCAGTCATTTATTCGATGTTCTATCTTTGGAAGGATGAGTTTTACAGTAAATAAAATCTAATATAATGTATTTCTGGATATCGTTTTGCAAACAGAACGTTTTTATTTCTTATTTAGACTGACTCTACTGCATAACATATAGAACATTTTGATTAAATTCTTTAATATTGGCAAAGAGACATATATATATAGTACGTGTAACTGTATATATGACAAGAAGGGAGCCCATTCTAAAAAAGACGGTTTACATATAAGAAACCTCACAGTGTTGCGAATAACACCAACAAAGTTTTCTCTCCTGTCTTCACTGTTTTTGTTACTTTGCTAACATTCCAATCTAGTGATTGAGACTATCCGCTATTCACTGCGTATCATATATTAAAGAATAAGTTCGTGACAGTTCGCTCAATACACTTTTTCCATCATAAACTAGAGAAATTTCACCGCAGAGTGCCCGTCATGAAAAACTTCCTGCATGGGTGCCCACCAGTTCCCTGTCCCGCCCTCATACAACTGTTTGGAGTCGGTCCAAGTGAAAGATTCTTGGAGAGGACAATTGATTCGCCACCATTCTAAAGTTTTTGGATCGTCTGCTATAGCTTTCATGTCAGCGGCATAGTTTGTTCCTAAGAAATGAAAGATAATATGAGAAAATCTGTTAATTGGTTGCCATAGAAAATCTCTACAAACGCAAATTTTTTTGAAGGCAGGATTATAATTTTTTGCTATTCATTAACAGGCGTATGACCTTTTTAAATAAATCCAACCAATGTGTGATTATTTGATCCGCTCTGTTCTTCACTCTTTTAGCACTAGTTTTAGTTCAAGTGCATGCAAACTATCGCGTAAACTTACCTATATATTCAAAATGAGAGAAAAGAAGACTCGTCTCGTTGCTGTAGTAGATCACGTAGTTTCGTATGTTGCTCTTTGAAAGCCGGTCTAACACCTGGGGACCAAACCAGATATTTAAAATTATTAAAATTTTTATGTTTAACATTAAAATTAAATGTTATACACGATACAGGTATATTTTAAAGACAATGCTCCCTGTAGCACTCCATACTCAAATGTGTATCTGCATTTGTGATTGATTTTTTTTTTTTTTTGACGAAAAAGTTGAAAAAAAGTCAAATTTTGTACGGTTTTTCAAGCCCAACGATCAACAGTTAAGAAAAAGCACCAGAAACATTAATACAGAAGACACAATAATGAGTTAGCTCTGCTTCGGAAAGTTAGATCAAGTACATATATGTTTTAATTTGACCTAACGTATTTATAATTCTATGTAAACTATTTGAACATTGTCAGTTTGAAATGGCCAAAAAAACATAACTTAATTCGAGTTTGTTTTTTATCATAAATGAAATAATACCTCTGGCCAAACGTTAGCGTGGAGCTCTTTATACTTCTGATAATTCTCTGGCGGCAGTTTAATGACGGACCCGTATCTCACGGAAGGCGTATTTTCTGAAAATAATAATAATTGTGATAAAAGTAATAATAATAGAAGGGACAAGATTGTGAAGGACATCTCTACAGTGATTTTCCTTTTTTGTTTTCGTTTTGATAGCATTTGAATCAATTTACATTTAATTTAATCGGTGTTTTCAACTGAAAAAAGAAAAGCATTTATTATTATAGTAAATGATGCATGTACTACTAGGCCGGTTAGCGGTATTGCCTTTGAAATGAAGCTGTTTTCTAACAGCAAAATTATCAAAATATGAGTAAAACGATGATCCATGAAGATTGTTATAGATTCATCTTCTCTCCTTTTAATATTAATTTCCCCCCTTTACGCCTCTTTCGCATTGAGGATACCAGTATGTTCCAACCTTCTCGTGTTGTTCCCCCCCTCTCCCCGTCCCCTCTCTCTCACTCTCTCTCTCTCTCTCTCTCTCTCTCTCACTCTGTATGTGTGTAAACGCAGGAGTCGGGAGTATCGATATCGCGAACTTTACAATTTTATGAATCTTATCAGTGGAAACCATTAGGAGTGCTGCTAATGATAGCATGCTTTGCTCTGTCGTTTTTATCTCTTACCCCGCCGCGAAACACTTGCGTTGTAGGCCTATATGGATATAATATGTCTATGCAAGCATAAGAATTCAACTATTTGGGTGTTGTTGGTTGAAGAACAAGGGAAATAAGTCGGAAGTTAAAATCCAGCTTAACCTGCACACTGTTGGATCAAGAAATTAGAAATGGGATTTGACCCCACCCCTTCCCCCCCAAATGAAAGAAAAAAACACCCCGCCTGTTCTCCATGACATCACGGAGGTAGTTTAGAGCATTTGGGTACCAGCTGAAGCAAAAGGGCAGTGGACCATAAAGACCACATATTCGTCAATAAATGACTGCTCCACATTAGCAAACCTTGATATGGCCATGATCAAAGCATTCTGTCCTCCCTCCCCGCTGCCGCAAGTACGTAAAGAAACCGCCGTAGCGTCATCCTATCGTAAAGGTTTATAGCCCATGACTATGGTAATAGACATACCTGTTTTCAGGGTCACACCGATGACAATACCAACAACGACAGCGACAATAACCAAGACAATTGCAGCAGTAACCACGGCAATCAGAACGATCTTTCTGGTAGAAACAGCAGAGGCTGCCATCATTGAATGTCTGCCGGGCAATCAACCGGCGCAGTTCAGTGAATACCTCGCATTCTGGTTATTCCAACTGTTTACAAAGTTTGACCCGGTGGGCCGACTTCTGATTGTGTTTGCTGTGTCCCGAGCACATCTGGTTTGTATCACATCCATCAGCTGTGAAATGCCATCATTCATGATTGATGTGGCCCATGCGTGCGTCATTAATGCAACGTTATGGGCATTAAATAGATGTCGTTCTTTGGTTCCTCATTACCCGCGGTGACGAAGGTGGTCACGTATTCATCTTTTTAAAATTTTTTTAATATCTCATAAACGCCAAGGTCCAACATTTACACTTAATGACTCCCCCATCAGATTGCGTCTGAGTACATGTATTTAAGTGTCTTGAAACATGATTAAGTTCTGAATTTTTGTGTCATCATTACGCCATTATTTGTCTCGAAGCCCTGTCTATTCAATAGGTTTACACTATTTCAGTAGGGTCAGAGTATGAATAAAAGATAGGACAAGTAAGTGGGGATTCACGAGGAGGGGGAAAGAGGTGAGAAAGAAAACGAAGCAGCACACAGAAACTTCAGGATCCTGTTGCTATAATCCCTCTGCCAAGGCACAGTCAAAAGAAACTTCACCAAGAGGGCAATTGATCCACCACCAGTAGATAATAACACTATTCTCTACAAAGAAGGAAGTTATTGACATTTCATCTGAACACGGGTCTTCTAATATTTTGAAAGAAATTTATCGTCTATTATTTTATTATTTCACTGATTCAACATACCACTAATGGAATTCTGCGCTTTTTGATGGCTAACTTATTTTACATATACATTGTATAACATTTTCGCTGGTCTTCTTTTATTGAAAATAAAAAACTAAAGACATGGGGGATGAAGAGGCGGACATCACCTATATTTACCTGTGAGTCTGCATGTTAAATTGTTTTGCACCTCAATCCAGTGTGTGCGTGTGTGTGTGTGTGTGTGTGTGTGTGTGTGTGTGTGTGTTTGTATTTGGGGAAGGGGTTATCCCAAGGTTAAGTGTGTGTGTGTGTGTGGGGGGGATACACATGTATCCTCAAGTCAGTGTTTTCTACTCACAGGCTTTGTGTGAGATTTCTTTTGTTTTTTTATCTATGAATATTTTCCTTCCGACACACATTCTTATGTTCGTTACACTCGGTGAGCTGCCAGTTCTACTCTCGTTCTTTTTAAACCCCTCAAAATAATTTCAGAAAAGAAGTAAGATGCCATACCTTTTGGACATTCGTGCGTGTTACAAGGCGGACTTTCTAGATACGCCCCAGCGCAGTAACTAGCCTTGAGGCAGGGCGCCCGTCTCCCGTAGACAAGCTTCACCTCACAGTCTCTCGTCCGCATCTTAGTCCCACCCCCACACGTCACGCTGCACGGGGTAAACCGACTCCATGGGCCCCAGGTTGCCACCCGAGCGGAAGCTAAGTAAAATAGAAAGAAAGAAAAAAAGACAAATGGACAAGCATGTGTTTAAAGAAGTGTTTATTATCTTTTATATAGCCGTACGTAATCTGTCGTGTGAAGTGAATATGTATCGAAAACTTAAAGTTACACAAAAGAGTGATTTAAAGAGCGTGTTTTTGAGTTTCAACAAATCGTTTTTGCCTTCATAATAGAATTTAACTATTGAATATTTACAAGATTTTAAAGTGCATGTGATTAACGTAACTATTGAATACACACACACAAAGAGAGAGAGAGAGAGAGAGAGAGAGAGAGAGAGAGAGAGGCTAGCGCCTTTAAAGTTCGAATCTAAATACATGTACAGTACCTGCAGACGTGTATTTCGACGCACCCAGAACTACAAAAAGAATAATCTTCCATTCCATTATCTCTCTCTTGGAGTGAGCGCAAGTAGGGAAAATGTTATCTGTTAGCTTTCCTACATGCAACTCGAAAGCGCTTGAACCGGAACAAATCATTTTAGTACACACGCATTAAGAGCAGATTTCGGCAAATTTGTTCTGTGGAGAAATGGCTCTTTATAGCCTTTTATGCTCTTTTTAATGAGCTGGAACATATAATGCCACGGTAAGGACGTTTTAATTGTGGACAGAATATCAATTCGTTCACAAACATTTGTTTTCTAACTCAAACTCTACATCAATTAATTTACGACCTCATTTATTCATGCCCTTCTTCTCTTTCCTTCAGACTCGCGTCTCTGGCCAAACGTTTCACTTTGCCTTTAAACATATTTGAGAATGACGTTATTCTACTCGTACTGGTACTCAAAAAGTCTTGTCTTGATGAACATTTCATTATATTTTATACGCGACAATGGGTTCATCTTCTTATCTTATTAATCGAATGAGGGTTAAGGGAAATGTACAAGTAAGTTTTACACTTGGTATGGACCTATAGTTTACCATCTGTCCAAGCCCGTAGCAATTGACTTTTTACGTATATTTCTATAAAGCATTATTGATTTATACAGTATACTTCTCAATGCAGTTTATGAATCTTGGCTCAAAAGAAAGCATTAGGATGCTTTTACATGTACATTAAATATAAAAGAGAAAAAATATGTCTGACTACGAAAACTTGCAGATAATTAAACCGTGATAGACAACGTTTTATTACATGTGACTGGGGTTCATCCTGTGAAATATTGAAATCAATTCACCACTGTACATATATACTTTTTATAACACTTTAACAGGGAGGTTAGCACACTTAAAATTGGGTAAAAGACAAACACCGTAAAGCACAGTCAAAAACTAAGAATCTTCGCCTCAGGGACGTCTACGAGACAAAGTTCAGGCGCACTTTTAACGGGAAGTCAAGCGCACACACTAGTTAGACTCATGCTTCGTGTAGGCTTCAGGCCAGAAGCGTGGCTCACTTTCTACAGTGTGCTCGTAATTATCACGATATGCGCATGCGCCTACCTTGCCACGAGTTAAGAAGCGCATACTTCTTGTGTACGGCGTCGTGTTCACTTTCGTTGTCGCCCACATTTATATCGATATAATTGCTGGTTTCGTCTGTACCAGCCTTTTAGCCTTCCCAACATACGGAATTAGCTTACGCGTAATTTTTTGGTGCAGTAAACAGTGACACTACAAATATAGTTATTACAAAGGTTCTTTACAATTATGACAATACGTAACGACGCAAATATACAAATGGGTTGTTATACAATCAGCAGAAAAGAATATCATTATAATCAACAGTTTTCGTATTTTTCGATTTTTGGAAGTCGTGATGGCATTGCATAACTATACAATCTAATGATAAATCATATAAGCGGTTCGTGCATATTTTCACTTCAACTAGTATTTATCTCTAAAATTGCAATTTCCTCCAGCCGTCCAGCCTTTATATTAGGATAATTCGTATCAATCTTTATTATATAGCCTGAGCTCACATGCCATGAAGCAATGATCATCATTGAACTACCCCCTTGGAATCTCAGCGAGCTTACTTAAGCAAAGAATGTTTAATGAGATTTTATTACATTGAACCATCTTTTAACTAACACCCGTGTCATTGAAAAGGACCTCAGAAATCATTACACCTATGTTTTACTAAAATGTTGGACCAATCGATATAGGAGCACTTTTATGCCATGCTGCCTATACACTTATCGATGAACTTTGTCTGTTCATGCACTCTTAGCTTTTGAATAATTATAAATGATGAAAACTAAATTTCATTTTAAATATTATCTTCAGTATTTATTTCAAATGTTTATTTTGAGTGATTGAATCTAACATTTTAATACTATACTTTTTTGATAACTGCATTTAATATATGTAGTATATATTACAAATATAGTACAACAAAACCATTATTATTATTATTATTATTATTATTATTATTATTATTATTATTATTATTATTATATTTGTGATTTTAACTAGTCTTGTGTCTTATAAATTGGGACAACTATTAAGATCATTAACATATTACTCAGGGCATTTTGAAAACATTGTCTCGAACTGTAGTTGAATCCTTCTCGAGTAACACAGTGCAGCAATACTGTCAATACTACATGTAGCATCGAACTGAATGATAAGTTGATTAAACACACGGACCGCCTCAAACTATTAATTAAAGTGTGCATGAAAACGTGATTATTTTTGTTGAACAATAAGTTTTGAAGTTTAAGATTGTAACCATGGCCAAAGGTATTTTATTTCATTTGACGTTGTCTAATAATAATAAGAAGAATAATAAAATTTAATTTATAAAACGCACTCGTGTTTGTACTAAGTTATCTAATTCCAAAACCTACAAGTATGTTATTTCTTGGAGTAAAATTCTAGTGAAATTATGTTCGTTTGTGTTAAATTAGACAAAACCTAATGAACTGTCCATCTATAAACTAAAATAATCTTTAAACTGAGAAAAGAGGAGCGTTAACAGACCGTTATTAAGTTAAAAAAAAAACAAAAAAAAAAAAAACAAAAAAAAAAACGCACAGCAGTTGCCCGCCTGCTTTCAACCTTGCTTTCACGATCCATGAACTTCATGTAAAATAATGGGCACAACTGCACGGTCTTCTTCTCGAACAAGAAAAGGGGAAGAGGGTGGGGGGGGGGGAGCAACAGAAATACGCGTAGGTGTTCATCACGTTACAGTTATTGCCCTTGGTCGATCAACAACCCGCAACCTAAAATGAGAAAAAAACGAACATTATAATGATTGCATCTGTTTTCCATTTGTCATGCGTCCCATGCCATCGGCGACAATTAAGCCAGCGTCACTAACACGCACCTGTCAATCATTGCATTATAATCTATGCAATATACTGATTGCGTGCAAGGGACACACCAACACTATGTCATCGTGACCTACACGTACATGTTACGTGGGTGGCGATGAGGCTTGCATTGTCTATTATCTTGTTTTTCCTGACATCACCAGTTTGATCTAAACAGCTTGGTGTTGCACAACATGTTATTTTTACGTCATTTTGCTCTGGATAACCGTGAGCAGCTATGAAGGCGTTGTTTGTGAAAATCGAGATTTCAAACACACTGACATTGGTCCGATGTGGCTCTTATTCTAAGGAGATAACGAGGCTTGCAATTGCACTACTATATTTGCTGAGCTTTTGTCAAAGGCGTGCAAAAATATTAATGATATTGTTTTTTTAATCTTTGATTTGCATCCTAGGCTTTTAAAGCATTGGACTGCCAACTTCATTATTTTCAAAATACTCTTTTCAAAATACTTTTCAATAGATATATTGGAGCCATAATACTATTGTAGATTTTGCTATATCAACCATTTCCTTTGCATTTTCAACTCTGCTCGCTGCATTATAACTATTTGACCTTTTCTGGAAATATTTTAATAAAGGTTAATACTTTCGTTGGACGTGGTGTCGTGTAACAACTTTAGAGAACTAATTGCAAACAAAAAGAACGACAATGTGCAATCTTGATAGTTAAGAGACACATGCGTGTCATTATGTCACTGCAAGTCCAAATGTAAGTAAGTAAGTAAGTATTTTTGTTCATTTGGAATGTACAGTTTGATGAAACTTGTATTCATAGCTACTTTTGCAAAAGTATCACATCGCTTTTGCTTTGAGTTTTGGGGAATACGTCGCAAAAGAAAGAGAAACAGCGGGTTCGGAATACAATGTAGGTATTACGTTTAATGTGTGTTAATTTCTAATTGCTGAATAATGTACAGTTACAGAAGGTGTGTCTAGCTCTAAGCCAGCAGTGCAGATAATTCCTTTTTAACATCAGAGATTTACTGTGAAGAACAGTAATTTGGGGTGTTATGCATGACTGCATTGTTTGATTGATGAGATAATTAGCACGTTGGTTGAAATTTCAGTAATTTTCCAATCAGACAGTCCATTCAAATTATATCCGCGGAAACGTGTATCTGTTTGTCCACTGTGGTTGGTCAAAATAGGTAATTATCGCCAAACCAAGGGTTTCACCAGATAGCATAAATAGAACATACGCTTCGGGATATCTACAGAGGATTGAGGAAGACTATAAGACGAGAAAATACAGATCATTCGGAGGCAGGTAAGCAAACGTATATGTATTTTTTATAGTGCAAGAGCTGTGTTTATACTCAGAGGTTGTTGACTCAACAGCGCCGTTTACTGCTGATATACCAAATGGGAGTCTATTTAAAGTAGAGGGATCCTTCGCTGCGGTCGAAGTCAGAATTTTCTCTTGCATAATTTTGGTTTCCTCCTCCATATTCTCCGTGAAAGCTAAAGAATTTCGTAAAATTTCTTGTCAGTTATACTTCAATTATATGCTGAAACGGATTATATGTGCGCATGTACGGAATAGGTTATTTTTACATTACATGGCCACTTTTGGCGATTCTGCGATTTATTTAATTAATATGCAAAATACCGCGATTTTCAACGTGGTGAAGGCGCAAAACGAGTGAGAACATTTTATCCAACGGGATTTATTTTACAGTTTATTTATTTGCATCATAGAAAATATCTAGAAATTCTTATCTTATCACATTGAGATATTCTTCTTCTGTGCGCATTGTTGGGTGTTGAAAAAAGTTATTGTTCTCTAGAATCAAAGTAGCACGTTCTTATTAACATGAGAACGTTGTAGTTTTTTTTTTTTTTTTTTTTTTTTTGTTCCTCAATAGTTTCATAGAAATAGGTGATATCATAGGTATTGATACCTTAAGGCCTGGTTCTCAAATTGTATGACACTATATCGTGAAATTATGGACTGCGATTGTATGTAATAATAATAATAATAACATGAGACCATTATATATAGAGCACGCCAAGAATGAAATCTCGGTTTAAGACAATCTTAGAATTTTTAAAAATTAAGTATTAGAATTCTTTTCAAATTTCTTTCTTAACAGTGACTATGATCCGCCTGTCGAAGAATGCGTTGCAGAACCTCTGCGCCGTGATGGCGGCCTTACTTTTGGTGCAAAACGTTCATCCAGGTGAGAAGAAAAAGAATGAAGATATGTTTGTAGACTTGTGTATTTACACGTATGAACGGTTTGTCTTGTAATTTTTGCCTTACATTTCTTTAACAATAGCATATGATGGTCGTTGAATACAGTTGATTTTGGAAACCTGTTACAGGTACAACACAAACGTAACATGTCAATCAGTCTTCTTTGCAATTTCAAAATTATAACAAAACCACGCTACGGCGAATTGAGTACATTTCTTCCGTTTCAGCTATAGGATCCGTCATCCGAGTACAGCAGGGTTTTGCTGATAGTAAGGTGCAATCAGTGAAATATAAAGAAGTTGACGAGCCCCAACATAACATCCAGAAGAGATGTAAGCATTGACAGACTGATTCGTCTTTTCGATATTCCGTGTTGATTTCTTTTCATGAAGATTTTCAATGGTTTAGGCATTATAGTAGAAGTGAAGAACATATTAGTATACCCAGCTTTGTTCAGGAAGTTTGGCTTTTATTGCTTTCTGATTGTTTTATTTATTATAATTTTTTTTTTTTGGGGGGGGGGATTGTTTGCCTGTTCGTTCGTCACCATCATTACCTAAATTATGGATAGCTTTTGATATATGTTCAAAAATGGGATAACTTAAAAGTGATTACATTTTGTTTATGTGTTTGTATATGTGTCTGGCCATTGTGCGTTTTCCTAGTTGCGCAAGATAGTAAATATCATTATAATTTTCCTGTGTTATAAAATGATTGATGGATTCGATGCTGGGTGGATATATTTATTTATTTTTAAATGAGTTCATAATATCCACAATACATGCTTTTCTGGGTACGCAGAAACATATAGCAATATGATTATATATCAACTTTAAACACCCCATTCATTCGCAGAAACCGCATTGTTATCTTAACGGCTACAATTATCATCAATTACATGCATATGAGCACTTTTTTGAAATGTTCCTCATTATTCCCACTACTTGATTACTACAGTTTTTTATCTTGTTGTTTATCTTGTTCAAATGGGATTATTGTTTGCTGGGTGTGTTGTCACGTGACTGATTATTATAACAACGTGGCAGGGACAGGGTCTCTCATTGTCACGGTTTCGGTAGCTGGCATTTTCAATTGATTAAGAAAATAAAACTTATTATAAGTTGCTCCACTATTCCGCACGGGACCTTATAACATAAAATATGTACTTGGCTATAATAAAGGAGAAAATACCTAAAATGTTCAATTTCCAGGCCTCGGTGTCAATATTGATTTCTATTTTTGTTCCTAGGATCCAATTTTTCGTCTTTTCCCTGCTTTTCCAATGTATCTTAGACACAAATTACTATATTTAGTGCGCTGATTGTCAGTAGGTTCGTTATCAATATGGGCACTGGAATATCGGTATAATGTGGAAGCAATACGGACGGTATAATGTGGAAGCAATACGGATATATGCTCTTAGACAAAAAATGTTTTCTCTTACAGCCATTATTGGAGCTGGCCTGAAATTCGTGTTTAAGAATTTCTGGGACGATTTGCTGTGTTTAGGAGCCCACTTATCGACCCTATTAAACTGCAACAGTTTGTCACCCGGAGCTTGCCAAAGGTAGGTTTGCGTCCTAATCGGTGCGATTTATATTGCACTTTATGTTATGAATGTGATATTACCAGTAGTGGCCCTCTGGGATCTATCATCGCGGTCTCGCTATACAAATGCAGTAAATCTTTCGATAAAATGCGGTATCTGTTTTCTCCTTACTTATCAGAAGTGAAGGAGAGGACAAAGACATGGCCATGGTAGAACTGACAGCTAAGGTAGAACAATTAAGGGATCATATACATTAACGTTGGGTAGAAGTCCTACTGGACACGAATTAAAAGAACTAACAGGCCGACTTAGAAAAGTTATTAATGTGCACCAAACTTTATAAAATTGCACCTTTATGGATATCCTCTGAATATCTCATAATCATCATCATTTAGGAATGTGCATAGGTCTTTTAAAATGTGATATTTAAATAATTAATCATTTGATTGTTGGCAGTAATGTGTAACACAATCAGAATTAGAGATTTTGACAGAAAACAAATGAAGCTTTGAAGGGAAAAAAAGCCCCGTTGCATACTCGCACTCTCTTCAAACCCAAACCTTCAACCAGATAGTTGTAAAGACAGCCATGGGCCTCTGCAAACTGTAAATCTTCCAATAGAACTTGTTTAAATGATAATTCACTTTTTTGTCGCCGGTCTCTACGCAAATATGCAAACACTATCATGTAACTTTGGTCAAGTGGTAATCTACCCAGCGTGTATAGAAAAAAATGCTTTTCTGTCCTTTATAATAAGCAATTAATAACAGATATCCGGCTTATACAGAAACTTTTTTTAAAAAACTAGTTGTTATGAAATGTCACATTTCATAAAATTAGCATGCTTTTGCAATTGAATCATTTTCAGACTAAAGGACTTGGAAACCAAACGCAGCGAAATTGCCATCCTTGTGAACGAGACACTGGAGACACAAGTTGAATGGGCAACATTGAATGCTACCAACGAAAAAGTCATCACTAATCTACAGCTGATCGAAAAAGACTTGGAACTGGTAACATCAAGCAACCTTCGTCTTATGGGCTTACTAAATTCAATCAGCGTCATAGAAGAAACAGACGATATTTACGACTCTGCCACCGATAATGTTACACAGATCAGAGTACGTTTCCAGATTGAGTTGGAAACCTACCTGAACGGAATCAAAGCATCACTGACATCTACAGGTTCCCAAATCGACTCACTGAAAGAGCGCGACTACGTAATGTTTGCTCTCATGACATCAGTCCCCCTTGTAGCTCTGCATACCAGCCACATTGTAACATCCGCCCGTCAAGCTGTTCTCACAAGAAGCCAGTCCTATCAGGTGGTAGATGTCGTTGGTGGCGCCGGCAAGATGAAACTCGCATATAACCCAGAGGGGCGACTTTACGTCGTGCAGGATTCTCCAGAATTGGGGAAACTGAAGGTTCTGCAGTCGCTCGATGACGCAGGGAATGTTGGACGGTTCTGGAAGTTCATGACGCCATCTGGACAGTCTGCCATGGTTTCCGAGTTCCTTGACAGCTTCGACTTTGAGAGAGGCAAAAGAATTGCTTGGCTCCAGCAAAATAACGCCGACTATCTGGACTCACTAAAACAAAATCGGTATATGAGTGCATTCCTGAGTAGAACAGATGGTCTTACGACAACAGAGTTAGATGACTTTGTAAAGAAAGCCGCAATTTTAGACCAAGATGCGTTTTACAAATACGATGTCGATATCCCTGAAGCTGAGCTTCCAAAGAGTTTGAGAAGAGGCATAGACTTTCTGGACCCAGATGACATAGCTGCGGTCAATGCATACAAAAGACTGAAGGCTTACAACCCTGACCTGCTAGACAGTATGAATAAAGCTGGCACAACAGGTAAGAATTGGATAGATTGTTGGGAAACTGTTTATCAATTGGTTTGATTCTTTTGCCTTCCAGCAATATAATTATTTGACAATCATTTTTCTGTTTTACTATTAATTGAAAACGATGTTTAACTGTGACGCCACAACTGCATTAACTTCCAAATATAACAAATTGTAACAAAATGGGTGGTGCTGTATAACTGCCGGTAAACAAACCTTTTTAAAACGTAACGTTTCAGGCCAACTATTTGTTTGATGATTTTTCATTTGTAAAACTCTGAAAACTCTTTCATCAATTAAACATCAAAATTCTATTTTTTACTGGTTTTAGGTAAATTCTTAGATAACTCCAAAGCACTCTCAGACGCTGAGTTTGACGCCTACGTCGCAAAGGTGAAAGCAGCAGCCTCCGAGTTACCCGACGGTAATCTCAAGCACTTCGACTGGGACACGCCTGCCAAAAAAGTAACATTCACGCAGAGGATAAAAAGTGGTTGGTCATCTTTCCGAAACTTTAACCTGTTTAACTGGAGGGGACGTCAAGTGAAGATAAGCAGTGTTCTTACCATGGGAGCTATTGGCGGTTCCTTGAACGTCGCGCTCTGTTTGTACATGACCATTTCGTCAACCCAAAGTGTAGAGGAAAGAATCAAAACCATTGACAGTAGCCTCGACGAATCCAAGGTGAGCGTGGAAGAGAAACAGGTAGAGCTAGATGCTCTTCTTGTAGAGGAGAAAGACCTCTATACAAAAGTCAAGAACAACACCGTCACCTTGTACAATCTCTTTAGTACCGTCGATAGCACCATTGCAGACGACCCGAGTTGCCAGGACACTTTGTGCACATTCCTCCGTGACGCTGCCCAAATCCAGGTTATCTCCGACTTCCTTGCTACGTGGAATAATGACACGGTCACCTCGAGTACAATTCTGGTTAGTCAATTGGCTTTCATGGCAGCTCTTGCCGAATCGAAGACGGAAATGCTTGACATATACAACTCTGCCACAGTCACCACCAACGTCATGAATTGGGTGACCGACGGTTTGACACTAGACAGGATGCTGGAGAATGCAGCCTCGCTGAATCTCAATGCCCGTCTTCCCGACCATTTCTCCGTCCTGAACATCATCAAGGTGGCTTTCCCGTCGCGCACTTCCTACGACGGAGTTCCATTAAGTTGTATTGGCACTTCCATCACAACACAGACAGAGCTTGAAGCGTTCTTGGCTCACGCCGCTCCTATAACTGGAGATGTTGTTGATGACATCAAGACTGGAAAACTTTTTGGCGTTTCCCCAGCTGTTATCGTCGGGATGATACAAAACAAAGTGGGTTCCGGTGATCTCCCTGCAAACCCATGCAATGGCCAAGCCTGTACCAGCGAAGATGTGTTGAAGGTGATTGCCGCAGAGTATCCCAACGAAACAGAATATAATGGCATAGCTTTGGCACCATACAGAAGCACTGCCACTTGTTAACGATCCTTGTTGCCTGTTCCAATTAAGCCCCAAAAGAAAACGTATATGTCATTCATTATGATTCATATTATCCATTTGTTTCACTTAGTTTGGATAACAATAGAAATAGCTTAAAGTGACAAATTGTGAGATTTTAAACATACACTTTACGTTCAATGAAAAGTACATAAAGTGCGTCCTGGTAAGCTTTTCTGAAGACAATTAAGCAATAGTTTTTGATCATACTTTAACAGAGTTGGCACTGATTAATGTCACAAAGAATTATCAAATTAACCACCTGCTGACGAACCCTGAATACATTCTCCATTAAATAAGTTTAGTGCTATGTGCTGTTGTCTTTAAATGATCACATGACAGCTGTAAACCGTTTCAATTAGTTTTCTTAAATTCCATACATCATTTTTAAACATAACTTAGGATTTAAAAAGCCAGAATACCGGTGAAGATATCTATATTTAATACCATATTTTCACATGAAAATGTTGTACTTATAGAGGCCTTTTACCGTGTTTAATTCTTCGGTCTTAGATTTTTATTGCCTCCTGGCAACAAAATATATTTAGAAGCATATATACAGTCTCTGTGTTGTGTTTGTCTTTGAATTTTTGGGTATCTAAAATTTCCATTCTAAAAATTAATCAAAAACCCAGTATATATATTTTTCAAATGCTTCGCAATAACTGAAAACAAGAGCTCACTATTTGACGTCCCGTGTACATTTATGAGGCAGAAAAGAAAATACACAACTTATTCAGTGTCAGTCATACAGTTACATAAACACGCATGTTTCTAATATACATATTCTAAATAGAACAATCTCAGAAGAATCATGTACACCTCTTGTTGACATTTAATTGTCGTTTGTGGTCTAGATGAAACGTCTCTTTGGCTACGGAATGGTTTTAGTTGCTACGACGGTTATGTGTGTGTGTGCGCACGTGTGTGTGTTTGTGTGCGTGTATTCATTTTGGTGCAAACATGCAAGTTGACTTGAAAGTTTTAAGATGTCCTTCCTTCACATGTCACATCTGATTTTGGACGGGATGCAAAGAATGGTACAATAGTGGAAACCTAGCGTTTGGAAACCAGGATGGATTTACTACACTCTTAACTTAATGATATAACATAATATAATACACAAGCTCTCTAGCAGTCATTTTTTCTAGAAAGTATATGTATAATTCATCCCATTTTCTTCACATGTCACATTGTAAAACATACCTGTGCGACGGAAATGCTCGCTGTCATCATCTTGAAAAACGCGCCTTTAATCTTTGGATTTTTACCTTCCAGAGAAAACAAGTAAGTGAATAGTCAGGTATACGTGCATTCTAACTTGCCTAATCCTTTAACTCAAAACTGGACAACACCGCAGATCTTACTTATAGGCTTGTTGGTTTTTGTAAATGTAATGGAAAATGTCTTTTAAGACTAATTACTGGACTGACTATCAACATTGCTACCTCTGCTCTCCGTAATTTCGTCTATTCAACAGAATGCTGTTGCAAACAATTTTGTACCAGAGATACCTGCATGACGGCCATTTTTTAAAGTTTGGCCAAAACGTTTCACTATTTAGTAAAAAAATCTATATCATTTTACATTTTCTTTTGCGCATTCGGGAATTTTTTTACATTTGAATATTAAACCTTTGTACGGCTTATAAAGAAAAAGAGTCGGCTACGTTTTTTGCATTAAGGCTTACATTAGAAAAAATAGTATTTCCCGTTTCTTTGCTGTGAAATATATATCTTAACATTATTTCAATAGAATCAAACACTAGGAATACAAAATTCTTTTTCTGTTGCTCCACTCACCACCCGACCCTCTTAACCACCTAGATATGACAGTTGTTAAGCGCCAATTTCGCTGCTTTGTAAATTGGTGTGAGAGACTGGTCGGTTTCTGTCGTTAGCGTAGTTTAGTAAGATATTGTAATAATAATGGGCATGTTTGACGGAACGGGTGTTACCCACAATCTAGTAACTCTTTTTTTGTTTTGAACTGTAATGTTTGAGAGGTATGATCTCTTAATTGGAAGTTCCATTAAACAAATCATTATTTCTCCTCTTTACCGATAAAATCAGAAGTCATAACTCCATATAAATTTCGTCTATCGAGATTGTGGTACTTACTGTTGTGAATAAATAGGCCTGGCAACGGCGTTAGTTGTTCGGGCGAGGGAGATATTCAAAATCAATATTGCAGTTTTCAGTCCAAAAACCGCTTCTGTTACGTCAAGCAAATTCATCCTGATGTATCTTTGATGCCGTAGCATCATCTTAAAATATGATTACGTTTATTTCCGCATTATCTAAGCAAAAAAAAAAAAAAAAAAAAAGAAAATCCCAACGTACCGACCCCATTCAATAAACTAAAAATAGAGTCATGTTTCTCATCAAACTGGTTGTTCTTCCGATCAGGTCGCATTCACAACATATGATCCACTGCTTAACTGATCCGCGGACTTATATGTGTGACCCCGCTTTAAAGCATTGCCGCCTAAACCCCTTATGGTCAACCAGCCCCCTCAAGCGACCTCAATGCACGGGCCTAGCAATTAGCCGAGATTTAATCAGTGTAATATCGAGGCCCCTGCAGGCCTAGTGCATATGGTAGGCGGAGAGACCTTGAGAGAGTCAGTGGCATCGCTTTCCAGTGGGGTCGGCCATTTTTGATGCCGATGCCGAGTTAGTCTGCGGATCATCTTTTCTAAATGCAGCTTAAGTATTTATGTATACAAATGTTTCTAATCGTTTTCGCATTCGTTTTTTTAACTGGACTAGCTATTTCACTCATTTAATCTAAAATGGATGAACGAAAGTGTGCGGGCGTGATTTCTCGTCCATAATGCTTATTCCGGAGCAAGCAAAACATACAAGACAATAGATACAAGTACAATAGATATTCGGATTAATCAAAATATACCCTTGCTTGTGTACGGTAAAGAAGAGCCCAATTTTATTTTTGTAAATCACTTTTTATTGTTGGCAGAATTTCATATTCTTGAATTCCAATTCAAATTGAACCCTTAATCTCTTTAAAGCTTTACACATGATTATGGCTTGAAACTTTGTTTAAAGATATTGTGTTTAGTGATTCCATTCGGCCCATAGGGGCAGAGATAGTACATAAATATAGTAAATATTATGGAGTAGAAAAGAGGTGTGCGAGATACAAATAAAGTTAATGTTGTACACATGAAAGTCCAGACTTCTTATGGTCTCTCTCCCATACATTAGTGACAAAAAATATGACTCCAAAGAGCCTGGGTTAACAGTAAAGTATCTCTCTACCAATAACAATCAGAATGATTATTCAACCGAGGATCTTATGAAGATCGCTTAGGAAAGAAATATGGAAATATTACTCAAAAGAATAAACAGAGTGATTATCAAAATATAACATATACAAAAGGCGTCAGGCAAATGGGTTGCAGAAAAAATAACAACATACGATAAATCCCTATGTTTGTGACGTAAAAAGTTTAATGTACAAGCACAACTGATCAACATGTAGCAGTGTTTCTGTATGCTGCCAAAACCTCTCCATCATATGCAATCTGGTTGGAATACTCAGTGGCAATTACCTTCAAAACGTCATCTCTGGTACAAGCATGGCCATTGCATGGGTTTGCCGGGAGTTCACCAGAATTCACTTTATTTTCTATCACCACAACGATGGTATCAACAGAAGCGCCAATGTGTGCTCCAGCCTTTATGACACCAATGACGGGTCCAGTGATAGGTGCGGCAATAACCAAGAACGCTTCAAGTTGTTCCTGTGTTGTGATGGAAGTACCAATACAGCTGAGTGGAATTCCGTCGTAGGCAGAGCGCAATGGAAAAGCAGCCTTGATGATCTTTAAGATGGAGAAATGGTCGGGAAGAAGGGCATTGAGATTCAGCGAGACTGCGTTCTCCAGCATCCTGTCCAGTGTCAAACCGTCGGTCACCCAATTCATGACCTTGGTCAAAATTGCGATGGAATAGTACAAATCATTCATTTCCGTCTTAGAATCTTTTAAAATGGCAATGAAATCTAATTGACTAGCCAGAATTGTTCTCGAGGGGACCGTATCATTATTCCACGTAGCAAGGAAGTCAGAGATAACCTGTATTTGGGCAGCGTCACGGAGGAATGTGCACAAGGTGTCCTGGCAACTCGGGTCGTCTGCAATGGTGTTATCGTCGGTTCCAAGGAGATTGTATAGGGACACAGTGTTCCTTTTTATTTTTACGAAGAGGTCTTTCTCATCGATGAGAAGGGAATCTAGTTCTCCTTTTTTCTGTACAATGTTTATTTGTGCCTCGTTTAAGTTAGTTTCAAGCTCCACCAAATTTTCTTCTACGCTCTCACTTGACGAACCGATCACATATAAACAGAGTGCGGCGTTCATTGTACTGAATATGGCCCCTAGAGTAAGAACATCGGTTATCTTCAATTGACGTCCTCTCCAATTCAACAAGTCAAAATTTCTAAAAGAAGACCACCCATTTTTTACTCCTTGCGTGAATGTCACTTTTTTGGCAGGCACGTCCCATTCGAAGCGCTTCAGGTTACCGTCCGGCAACTCGGGGGCTGCCGCTTTAACCTTTGCGACATAGTCGTCGAACTCTGCGTCTGTGAGAGTTTTTGCGTTTTCAATGAACTTTCCTAAAATCAAGAACAAATACAAAGTTTAAATGATGTAGGTCTGTTTAGTTTCCATTTTTTCCACAATTAATTTTTTCCACAATTATAATTTGTATTATAATTTTAGGATATGCATCTAATAAAGTGAATTTGTGACATACATGCACGTTGAAAAATTAGTGTTCCTGACAAATTCTACAAACCAGGGAAAGTACATATTATATTTCAAACTAATCTTTTAAGCCTTACCAGTTGAGCCAGCTTTGTTCAATTTGTCAAGCAGGTCATGATTCGTAGTCTTTAACCTGTCGTATGCATTTACCGCCGCAAGGTCATTTCGGTTCAGAACGTCTACGCTTGGTCTCAACTGTCTTGGAAGATCACCTTGAGGTGTGTCAGTATCGAATTTGAAGTAATTATCTTGGTTTAAACGTTTTATTTTCCTGACAAAGTCAGCAACGTCTCCTGGTGAAAGACCTTCAGACCTGCTCAGGAATGCAGGAACGTAGCCCATTTGTTCCAGTGTGCGCAGGTAAATGGGGTCGTTTTGCTGAAGCCATGCAATTATTTTTCCTCTTTCAAAGTCAGCGCTATTCTGGAACTCTGCGGCCAAGGCTGCCTTGCCAGGAGTGGTCAAGTACTTCCAAAGCCGACCCACACTGGCGCGGCCACTAACTAAATGCAGGACCTTCATTGTGCCCAATTCTAATGACTCCTGCACGATGTAGAGTCCCCCTTGGCTGTTAAACGCAAGTGTTAGTCTGCCCTGGTCACTATCGATATCTACTACCTGATAGGATTGGCTTCTCGCGAGATCCGCTTGACGGGCAGATGTCACAATGTGTCTGGTGTGCAGAGCTACAAGCGGGATTGCTGTCATGATGGCAAACATTAAGTGGTCGCCCTGTTCTGAAGAGTCGATTTGGGAACCTGCAGCTGCCATTTTTTCTTGGATTCCGTTCAGGTAGGTTTCCATATCAATCTGAAAACGTATTCTAATCTCTGCGATCTTGTCGGTTGCCGAGTCGTAAAGATTCTCCCTTTCTACGACCGCGCTGATTGCCTTTAGTATGCCCATGAGACGAAGGTTGCTTGCTGTGAGCAGCTCCAAGTCTTTCTCGATCAGCTGTAGGTTAATGATGGCCTTTTCGTTGGTGGAATTCAATGTTGCCCACTCGACTTGTGTCTCCCGTGTCTCGTTCACCAACGTTGCAACTGTGGTGCGTTTAGCATTAATAGCCCTAACTCTGTTAAAAAATCAATTGCTTATTGAATTTTCGTAAATATTTAAGTTTCTAACAAGAGGAAAAATATAAAAGTTAGTTAGTATTGTGAGGTCACTGATCTGTCTAGAGCTCAGAAAATTTAACCTGCCTGAGCAATATTTAAATTATCATTTGTGTCCAGATCTACGCTTCAGTTACCTGAATATCAATATAGGGACGGTAAGAAAAGATGAAGTGGAATTTGAATAATTTCATTTGGATGTGTATTTTAAGGCTGATTTATTTGGTTTTGTTTATCTCAAGGTTTGGGACTCCCTTGATATCACCACAAAATACATGTGCTGAGTATTGAACATGACGCACAGATCTGGTACCAACATTCAAGAGTGTGACATGCACCAAGATATTGTAAATGTTCCAAATATAGGAACAAAGTATAAACTTACCTTTCACAAGCTTGGAGGGACAAACTGTTGCAGTTCGCCATGGTCGCTAGTTGAACTCCGAGACACAGCAAATCGTCCCAAAAATTGTCAAGCACGAATTTAAGACCCGCTTTTACAACTGCTGTAAAAAGGAAATAATATGTCGACTAAAAACCCAGTCATACCAAAATTAATTAGCAAACAGACTACAGAGTGAAAATAACTTAGCCTATATACATGAGGTGGGGTCATTCTGTAAAAATAAATTGGATAAACAGCGAAAGGGAGAAGAGTTGATGCAAGTCACACGGGAGTAAAACAGTTTTAAGAAATTTGCAAATCTCTGTATGTTTTCAAAATTGAAACAAAGAGCTTTCCAAAAATACTATACAGATGTTCCTATTTATAACCCGGTTACATGGTGTAATGAAACGGTAAAGATAAAGTTTCTTATGTTCAACACTACACACAATTTAATTTTGAGTAGAAACATTTTTACTTTTCCTATGTCCCAAGTTATCTGGTTTATTAAAAACTCGATTAAAAGAAACAAACACGATTAGAAAAAGTAGAAGTTATCTGATAAAAATTACATCTTTTCTCAATGTTATGGTGGGATTCATCGGCTGCTTCATATTCCAATGGCTGCACCTCACTATCAACAACTTTCTGCTGTACTAGGGCGGCCGAAACTGTAACTGCAATTGAAGATAGGTAAAAAAAATCCGTCGCCCACAATTTTCGTTTTAAATTTTAACTGCAACATAGCATCAAGGCGCATGCAAGAAATGTGGGGGTATTTTGCTTTTTCTATGAAGCATTCTTATCGAATTTAACAACCATCAAGAACGTTCACTGACAGATAGAAAAATTCTTAATATCGCCTCATAATTTACAGCTACTAATACAATACAGTAGGTCTAATTTTAAGAGTTAAGTAGATTATACGATAGATAGCGCCTGTTGAAATACTTTTTGCACAACCCACCTGGATGAATGTTTTGCACCAAAAGTAAAGCAGCCATCACTGCCCAAAGGCGCTGCATGGCGTTCTTTGATAGGCGGATCATAATTGCTGTTAAAAAAGGAGCAGATAAAAGGTTTTTGAATTAAAATACTAAAATTAAATTAAAATATCAAAATACATACTGATTTTATGTAGATTACGGATATGCATAACACGTGGTTATTCAACCCGAGATTTCATTCATAGTGTGTTTCTTTGCCTATAACTTGATTTTCTAACAGTTTTGTTAAAAAAGATATATATATATATATATATATATATATATATATATATATATATATATATATATATATATATATGTTTACTCACCTGTCACCAAATAAATACACTCTGTTCTTCTCTGGTCTCTCTTCCCAAAATCTTCTCTTCCTGATCCAAATTCCAGTCCTATTTATGTTCTTTTTCACACTCGTGGCCCCTTTTTATTTCTGCCAATTCCAGTGGACGTGAACGTGTGCGCTACCTCGAAGAGAAGATGAACTACCTTTATTCTTGAAGTTCATGTCACGGCAATCAATCATGTGACTACACTGTGCCCGCATGGGCAGTTGCCATGATAGGAGGGTGTTTGTGTGAGAAAGAGAGAGAGCAGACAAGTTAGTCTCGGAACACTGCTGTCAGATCGTGGGTAAAGCGTCAGATTATTTCTCACCTTCAGTGTTTGAGTAGTGCGTGAATGCACTGTACGATGACCGTGTAGTCAGCTAATAAAATTCATTTTTTTTTACATATGTTACTGTAATCTGTAGTGCTTTTAGTATTCCACGATGTCCCAATGAACCCTCTGGTATACTATGATGTCTAGAGAATAAACACTGTTTTAGACTATTCTGCGGCGTATTTTCATTCTATGGAACGGCAGCTACAAACAGTTTCAGTCACTGGTATTTTAGTGGTGGTCCATTAATTCATTAACGGTTATTTGGTTAATTATTTGTATGTTTGTCTCTTTGATTGCAACATTATGCAAACAATTGTGGGTTAATTTTGATGAAAATTTCAAAACTGTTGGGAAAGCCCAAGAAACAAACAATCAGGCTTTAGTTGTGATCCAGAGATTAGCTAGCTAGTTAATAATTGATAAAGCCTGTTTGTCTGTTAGGAACATTATGCAAGAAGTTGCCGGTATAGAGGGATTTGGATAAACCTTTCACAATAGGTCAGCTATGGCTTAAGATTTTGGAGGTGGTTGATTTATTAAATAATTGTAATGAGAATTTAGTCAATGAAATATTTACTTAATGAATAAATAAATGATAGCAATGAGAAATGACTCCCCTTGGTGGAGGTTTACGCGATATGAATACTTTTTAGTTGTCATTACCTTTATATTCGAATGTCGATAAATACTTGACTATCAATACCCCCATCTACAAATCAAAGAGAAAAGATGTATCCGAGAATGGTTCAGTAAATATACTGTAATGAAAGCGTAGCGGCCTATATTATATATATTTTGCGTAGCCTTCCTTAAAGACTCAAAATCGGCCGATGTCAGTCCACGTAAAGCCTAGGTCCCAACCGAACGTACGGGCTGCTACGTGTGGTCGACGGCCAAAAAAATGGGGAAAACTTGGGAGTTCGTGCGTGAGGAGCACGTCCATCGTGCGACTTTTGGAGGACGCAAACAGCACGTAGTAACTTTTCGTCATGATCAACAGCCGCTACGTGCGATCTAGCTACGTCCTAGCCGGACGCAAGGAACTAAAAAACCGTGCGTCCAAAATGTAGTTGGGACCTAGGCCTTAATTAAATCACAGCCTCAACACCACCCACTGGTACGTACTGTAGGTGACAAGGCAGTATAATCTGTTATATTGCATAAAAACGTTGTCCTTTGTACTTTAGTGCAGAAAGATTGACAGGTGCTTATTTATATTGACAGTGACTTGCTGTTAATGGTATTGGGGACATGACAACTACGAATTGGAAACGATTTATTGTAATCTGTATTTTCATAATTTCAGGTTGGTGCTTGCTAGTTGATAAAAAGTAAAGACGGTTATATTACGTGACTGCGAAGTCATTTCATCCCCGTTACTGTTTTTACACACGCTATTGAAAACAGAACCATTTTTGTTCTCAACAACTAAATAAATAAGACAACTTATCAAATTTAAAAGACCAAAAGACTTTTTAAAAAGGCCCAAAAAATTGCATTCGATTTCTTCCATGAGGTGGAGAAAGAGCATGGACTTGTAATAAACCTCAATATTTTTTTTTAATTAAAAACGAACGAACGCCAGTCAGGTCTTAGAAGTGATCCACTTCATGTGCAGGCTATCCTGCAATACCGTTTTCAAGAGATTACAAGAACTGAAAATAGCTAAAATTGGCAGCGTTTTGAATTTCATTTTTTTAATACGGTATTGTTTTAGAATTCGGGTATTCTTTGATGTACCAAATAAAAAACAAACACGACTTTAATACAAACACGAGTTTTGGGGCGTCTCTCGTGGAATACAAAAGCGAAAATGCACTACAGAGATAACTTTAAGAAGACTCTTTAACCGACCGCGAGTGGATAGAATTTGAATGACACATAGTGAATCTGAAAGACAGGTATTCATACAGGTACGGTACCACTTAAATTAGCCATATAAAACAAAACAAAGACAAATGTCTGCATACCACAGTACCTGTATGCTCCAAGTGAAGGTATCCACTATTCTTCAGTAACCAAGGTCCTCTTCTTTAATTTGGCCAATCGTTGTTGCTGGTCCTTTTATACTCTTTGGGGCATTGAGGCATTACTCACGTCTTCAGAGAAAATATGTTTACCTTGAACACCACTCGTGCCACTGAGCCTAGCGCATCACACAATTTCCGGTTAATCCAATGTCCAGAAAAAATATTTTTTCTAATACCCAAATGGCATGATGCTGTTCTTACTAAATGGGAATAAAACAAACAGCCCTGACGTGTTTCCAACAACTGTTTGATAGTTCTGTGGTGGAAAAGTATGTCACCGTACGTTTAAACATATTGTAAACATATTATCCTTACATAATATGAAATCCATTTCCATTTTGGAAATGGGGATATGACCTTTTCAGCATTGATTTTTCATGTATGCAACTATTTAGAAATATTTTGTCCTTTTTTATTTATTCTGTATATAATACCAGCAATGAATATGGAACAGGGTAATGGTTTTGGTGCAATGTCTGCATGGTATTGAAATAAATTTGAAGGCATCTGAGGAAGTAGCATATATACTGTAAATAATTCGCCCCATGAATTACGTGTATATCGATTTATAACAGATCAACTTAGAAAATGCAATTTTTTTTTGAAATGGGAATTTATCTCTGATTTGTGATTAATATATTCGTTTGTTTTTAGTAAGAGAATATCTAAAGTAATTAATAACAAAAAGACGTTGATGCAAAATAACGTTTTCCTCTGTCACTCTTTACCTTCCCTCCACAATTGTTTGTCCTCAAGTTATTTTGCATAAAGAATTAATATCATTTAATAGTAATATGAACACACTATCTCAACCATGCCCTACAACACGACACTACCTGTCCGTTTTCTTTGTGCATATCTTACATCAATTCACTATTTTGTTTAAAATCAAATACAAATTCAAGTTTGCGTATCATACTCTAGATCTCACTTTGACAAAGACCAATTAAGTCTCTGCAAGTAATGTGCCCCAGATTTTGTGGACTTTATTTAATGAAATCAATCTCATTCTAAAAATAATCAAAATGCATCCGTGCGAATAGGCCTATGTTTGCCTGACATCCTGTAATTAATGCTGCTATCACTTTGATCATGCCTTGAGAAAGACAGTATACGTCAAAATAAAACCATAGACAGTTGAAGAGATAACAACGCTTTGTATAAGATTCATATCTCTGATAAATATATTGTAAACAACTCAAGGAAATATAGTGAATCCCATTTTCCACCAAAACGGCGGTTATCGCATTTACTCTGATATCTGTGCTTGCCATTGGACTACGTGAACCTTCACAGATGGCTATCCTCCGTTAAAATCTCTTAAGAGATTATTACAAAAACCAAACTTAAAAAAAATGGACTAACTTTGAAAGTCGGGGCGGATTCATTAATCATTGGTAAGTACGGGAAAATTGTCTTTTACCCCATTAAAATCCGTTTTATTGCATTTTTCCCGCCAAAGTGAACAATTGTTTTCCCTTTAACTGCATAGCTTAAATAATGTGTCGTGCCTAAAGGACATTAGGACAAAGTCCAGCGAAAGCGCCATTGAAAATGACCATAGGTCACTCAGTCTTTCAAGACACCCTTATCAAAAATAGAGGTGACGCACTAGTTATCGGAGCCTATGACGTACACAAATTTTGCCTATTGTTCAATTAAAACACAATTGCCAGGTTTACAATGGTAAAAGTGAAAATAAACTTACAATTATTGATGTGGCAATTGATGATTCATAAATGACATCTGTTGTTTATTGAATTCCCTGAGTTCCCTGCCCTAGGACTTGTATTCTCAGGACGCGAGCTCCTGTCGCACCGGTGGTATAAATAACAAGCTAATAAGGGACTATTTTCATTAAAGCCGTCGGTCTACTTAGATTGATCCAACTCCAGGGGACTCTCGCTGAATGCAATCAGTTTCACGGCTTAACACGTCTCCTCCTGGCGTTGAGCAGAATACTAAAAAAGTTGGTGATTATTCAAGTACGTTGAAAACAAGGAGTGTGTTGAATCGATCTAAGTAGACGGATAGTTTTAATGAAAATAGGCCCTCAGTCTGCTATTTATACCTCTCTACCTAGACCGATGGTTTTTAATGGAACAAAGCCCTTGGTCTTTTTATACCACCGTTGTGGCAGGAGCGCACGTCCAAGTCCTGCGAATACAAGTCCGTGGGCAAGGAGTGGAAAGCACTAGGGCATACGTTACTAATATTCGTTATCCGCAGAAGGATACCTCCCAAGAAATTCAAGCCCTACGCTTTCGATTTAAGCCATGAGGTAGTGTAACTGGCATATTAGTATGACAGACTATGGCATCAGTGAATGCTTTAGTAGTGATTGCAGGCTAGTGTATTGATTGCGTCCGTCTCGTGTTTTGTTCGTTTTTTTTTTTTCCCGAAGTTTCTTTCGCATATCCGCTCACCTGTCTCAGAGTTCAGTCGTTTGAGCACTACGTTTGTGGAAGGATGCGGGTCTCTTTGTTGTCTTAAAATAAGACACATTAGAATTTTTTTTCAGTAATAATAATAAATTGCATATGCTGATACAGTACTTCCGCCAGACTATAAGTGTTTACTTCCTAAATTACAATCACTGACGTTACTTTACGTGAAGTTGCAAGCACTGGTGTCAGATTACTGTGGTGTTAAAATCACGTTTAGCTTCGAACCTCATACAGGCCTCATAAACTATTATTTCCGTCGTTTTGTGATCTTTAGTCACGAATTTGTGATCGCGAACGCTGAAATAAGGACTCAAACTTCGTTTTAGTAGTCACGCAAACGTAGTCACGAGCATCGTAGAAATAACGCTTTTATCTGCCAGCTGGACCTGGGACCTGTTTATGTACTGGTTCTTTTTCTCTGTCCCCAACTACCATTTCCTATACGGGAGTAATGCGGGGAGTAATTTTGTAGTAATATACGTGTTTGCTGGAATTTGCAATAAATGATTTATTGCTGCTTTTTGGCAGCAATATTGCAGCAAATTTGCCAAAAAGAATTGCAGTTTCCAGCAATACTGAAGCAATATTGTAGCAAATTAGCTACATATGTGCAGCAGGTCTGATATTTTGCTAAGGGAATAATTTTAAGATGCGTCTCCTTAGTGAAAAAGATTTTTGGCCAAAGAGTTTTAGAGGATTAGACATCCTACTGACTCATCGTGGCTGATTATTTTAGTATGGTTTGCCTATTTATTGGACGTACAATCAGTAACTTTTTGTGAAAAATCAATCTAAAGTTGAATAAATTATGGGTAACAGCTTGATTTTCTGTATCATTTTTCGTATTGCATAAGGGGTGATGCTTTATTGGTAGGGGAGTATATTTATCGTCAATAAAGGCTGTAAACTTGTAAAATGAACTGGTACTTTTGCAACTAACAAAACTGAAATAAATCAGATTATGTTGACCTACATGTAATTTTCGAAGATGTTCATTTCCCTGACACTTTCAAATAATAGAACGTCTCTGCTTGTTATGAATAGAACCCCCTTTCACAATTTGAAGGCGCCAATTAGTTGTGATCGGTTTTAACTTTGCTTCAGCTTCGTGAACAGGGGCTCTGCTGCAAAATTGTCACATACACGTACAAATGTACCAGTGTCATTGTTCGGCCCAAGCTGCGCAGTTGAAGAAAAATCATTTAAAATAAAAATTTTCATCGCTTTAAAACGTTGTGTATACCGATGAGATTGAAAGAGGGTGTGCGAACTATACTCTGCATAAGGAAAATCCCATTTTTATACTGACCCCCAAACAACGAAGACTTATTTGAAGAATAGATATGTATTTTAAAAAATAAGTTGAAGAAAGACAATATGCGTGCTTCTACCAAGCACACGTACATGTAACTTACATGTATTCCATTGTATGTTATAATTAAACATATACAATAACAAAGCAATAAAATTGCAACAGTACCAATAAGTACAGTTTCAGTGATCATTTCTCTGGTATATTAGTGGCATATCGTTTAGGATTAAAGCTCTTTGCACAATTTAACAAGAGCATAAATGAACAATTTTGAAAACTGCGCATATCTATTACAAATGGAGTGCTTTTAATCAAATCCTCCTTCATTTAATCAAATAAAATTAGCAGCAGAAATTATCCAAATGATATCCTAAAGGCTTTTTTCAAAGATTTTTGCATAGCTTCCATTGCGGCTTTGGCTTTGGCAATTGCTTCAGCTTGGGCTGCAGCTAGTGCTTGGGCTGCGGCTTGAGCCTGGGCTGCAGCTAGTGCTTGGGCTGCGGCTTGAGCTTGGGCTGCGGCTTGAGCCTGGGCTGCGGCTTGAGCCTGGGCTGCGGCTTGCGCCTGGGCTTCTGCTTGAGCCTGGGCTTCGGCTTGAGCAGCCGATTCTGCATTCGTGCAAGAGGCGCTATTTCTATGTGCTGTCAAATCCTCCCCATCATACGATGTCTCGTCTGGATATTCCGCGGCAATCACCTTCAACACGTCTTCTCTGGTACAAGCTTGACCATTGCATGGGTCTGCAGGGAGATCGCCAGAAGCCACTTTGTTTTGAATAAGCGTAACGATCGTATCAACGGAAACTCCCAAGAGCTTACCAGTCTTGATGTCATCAACAACATCGCCAGTTATAGGAGCTGCTTCGACCAGGTATGCTTCAAGTTCTGCCTGTGTAGTAATTGAACCACCAATACAGCCGAGAGGAATTCCATCGTAATTCTCGAGAGATGGAAAGGCAACCTTGATTACTGTCAAAACTGAAAACTTGTCCGGAATGCGGGCGTCGAGATTCAGCGTGACTGCGTTCTCCAGCATCCTGTCTAGTGTCAGGCCGTCGGTCACCCAATTTATAACGTTGGTGGTGACTGTGGCAGAGTTGTATAGGTCAATCATTTCCGTCTTTGATTCGGTGAGAGCTGCCATAAAAGCCAACTGACTGACCAGAATAGTCCCAGATGTGACGGTATCATTATTCCACGTAGAAAGGAAATCGGCGATAACCTGGATTTGGGCAGCGTCACGGAGGAATGTGCACAAGGTGTCCTGGCAACTTGGGTCGTCTGCAATGGTGTTATCGGTGGTACTAAAGAGATTGTACAAAGACACGGTGTTATTCTTGATTTTTGAGTAGAGGTCTTGCTCCTCCACAAGAAGAGCTTCCAGCTCTGCCTGTTTCTGCTCTACGCTAGCCTTGGCCTCATCGAGTTTGCCATCGATTTCTATGATTTTTTCTTCTACACTTTTGGTTGACGAAATGGTCATGTACAAACAAAGCGCGACGTTCAGGCTTCCACCTATGGTCCCCATGGTAAGAACACTGCTTATCTTCACTTGACGTCCTCTCCAGTTAAACAAGTTAAAGTTTCTAAAGGACGACCACCCATTTTTGATACTTTGAGTGAATGTTACTTTTTTTGCAGGCACGTCCCAGTCGAAGTGCTTGAGATTGCCGTCGGGTAACTCGGGGGCTGCTGCTTTTACTTTTGCTGCGTAGGCGTCAAACTCAGCGTCTGTGAGAGTTTGGGAGTTTTCTAAGAACTTTCCTGAAAATATCAACAAATAAAAAAAAATTAATTTTAGTACAGGTGAAACGATCTATCGGGGATGTGTTTAAACCATTTGCAATGGGCAATTTTGGTTTTGCTGATACACATCGCACTCCGTAATCGGTAAATCCTGTTGAATTAATTCAAACAAGGTGCAGTCGATGTTGTAATTCAAACTCTTATATTCACCCATCTGTTTCGCCTGTCGCCCTATTTTAAAAGGCTTGCTTAACTGTGTTACCCCACAAAACTTATGGCAATTTTTAGCTTTGAATATTTGACTATGAGTTTTTAAATAACAAATAATTCGGACTAAATCGTAAAGGAAATGACACATCTGATTATTAAAAGCACAAAAGTCAACCTAATAAATCACACATTAAAATATGCAAATTCCAAAGATGCTATATCTACATAATTATGAATCTGTTACCTGTAGCACCGGCTTTATTCAAATTGTCTAGTAGGTCGGGGTGTGTAGTCTTCAATCTGTTGTATGCATTGACCACAGCAATGTCATTAGGGTTAAGCATGTCTAGGCCTAATTTCATATTCTTTGGAAGGTCAGCTTCAGGGATATCGACATCGTACTTGTAGAACTTATCTTGATCTAAGACTGCCGCTTTCTTCACAAAGTCATCTAACTCTGTATTTGAAAGACCCTCTGTTCTACTCAGGAAGGCAGTAACGTATCCCTTTTGTTTTAGTGTGTTGAGATAGTCGGCGTTATTTTGCTGAAGCCAGGCGATTTTTTTGCCTCTCTCGAAGTCGAAGCTTTCAAGAAACTCGGAGACCATGGCAGACTGTCCGGCTGGCGTCATAAACTTCCAGAACCGTCCAACTTTTCCACTGTCACTGACCGATTGTAGAACCTTCAGTTTACCCAATTCTGGAGAATCCTGCACGACGTAAAGTCGCCCCTCTGGGTTATACGCGAGTTTCATCTTGCCGTTGCCACCAACGATATCTACTACCTGATAGGATTGACTTCTCGAGAGAATAGCTTGACGGGCAGATGTCACAATGTGGCTGGTGTGCAGAGCCACAAGGGGGACTGCTGTCATGATGGCAAACATTACGTAGTCGTGGTGTTTTAGAGAATCGACTTGAGAACCCACAGATGTCAGCGTTGCTTTGATGCCGTTCAAGTAGGTTTCCATCTCAATCTGGTACCGTATTCTGATCTCTGTAACATTATCGGTGGCTGAGTCGTAAACAGTGTCGTTTTCTTCTACCACGCTGATCGCCTTAAGTATGCCCATGAGACGAAGATTGCTGGCTGTGACCAGTTCCAAGTCTTTCTCGACCAGCTGTAGATTAGTGATGGCTTTCTCGTCAGTGGAATTCAATGTTGCCCACTCAACTTGCGTCTCCAGTGTCTCGTTTACTAAGGTCGCTATCTGATCGCGTTTAGTTTCCAAGTTCTTTAATCTGAAGAAGAAGTCTTATATTATTCAGTTCTGCATGAAAAAGATAAGTGTGCATGCGCACAACCCTACTCCTGTTATGTTTGGCAGCATAGTTAAAGATAAAAATGATAAATTTAACCATGATAAAGAAGAAACAACTTACAATTAGGTCTTTTTCACAACAAAAAAGGGCTTCAAGCCTTCCAAGCCAGAATTTTCCAAAAACTCTTTTTAAACTAATTTACCCAGGGCAAACGGATTTTTTTCCGATTTAGCCACCTTTATTTACCTTTTCTTGCTGACACTCGCTATAACTCTGTGACACAATTTTCGAAAAAGCCAAAGAGCAAAATCTGCTTTAATTGTCCTCAAGAAGCAATGCATGATCTTAGAATGTTTTCAAAATCTTGGCTTGGGTCACTATAATTTAGGACTGTTTAACTCTTGCATATATAGTCGACTCTATTGTGTCACCTTTATCTTATTGGTCTTGGAGGTACTGGGGGTAGAGCACGATGATATCATGCTATATAGGACTCACCTTTGGCAAGCTCCCGGTGATAAACTGTTGCAGTTTGCTAGAGTAGCTAAGTGAGACCCCAGGCACAGCAAATCATCCCAAAAATTTTTAAACACGAATTTCAAACCAGCCCCAACAATAGCTGTAAGAGAGAGAGAGAGGCATCTGTTATAAAGGAATACATCGAACCCTTTTCAAAGCGATATGAAAGCATGCGGTATAAAATCATCAAAGCTTTGGTGCAAAAAAAAAATTGAATGTAAAACTATAGACAAAACTGACAAGTCTAATAATATACTGTACGTACATCTTTTCTGGATGCTGTGACCTGATTCATCAGCTTTGTTATCTTCTAATGACCGCACCTCATCATTAGCCTCTCTTCGCTGTATTCTTATGGCGTAACCAATGGCTGAAATTGAGAACCGATCACTCTGTCAGCAAAAAATATGGGGGCGAACCATGCATACCAATATGTTATCATTTCTATAAAATATAGCAGTAAGCGGATCTTTACGATCAACATAGACTGTGAAAATTTTAAATTAATGGAAAAGAACATTCTGAAAGTGAATCAGAGACAAAACTGTAAATCTCAGACAAAAAGGAAAGAATATTTCGACAGAATGCATGTTTATTAAATTACATCACAGCGCCAGTTCTTTGTATTTAATTGACTCACCTGGATGAACGATTTGCACTAGTAGCAGAGCGGTCATCACGGCCCAAAGGCACAATTTCGTATTTGACAGGCGCACCATGACTGTCTGAAAGCAAAAATTTAATGAATGTGATGAATTATACCATATATTAAGAATTAAAAGGCGTGTAGTTAGGGGGAGGTTTAATAACGGCTGCAAATCTAGAAAATATACAAGTATAATAACTCAATCTCGACGTGCACGGTCTCTGTTGTCTCAAAAAGGAGTTAATGAAAATTATATATGGATTTATGGCCATGAATTTATGTTCGATAGTGAAATAGCCACGTTATAATGAGATTCAAAATGTCCCCATTTAATTACAGTAACTGTTGAGCATATTTTGATTTATCCAATATGACAAAGGTAATAGTACCCTGAATACGATCACTAAGAAGTATGTTTTAGATGTGAGAGACGCAATGCAACTCACACTCGTAATTACGCTTGCTAAGATTTATTTAACTCTGAGCACTTTTGACAATTTTTTAATAAAATATAACTGTTCATATTTTACAGAAAAAATATACAACAAGCTATTTTCTACAATTATTGCTAAATACCGTAATAGCATTTTCGGGCTTATCCATTTAACAAAAAAGCGCGGAATAAGCTCTCTGCATTGTATTCAATCTGTGCTAGGTTTACAATGTACACGTAAGTACATGTAGCCTCGTTGACGAATGTCAAGTGCAACGGTCCCCTACAGGTACAGGTACTTGGCCGCAAAACATTCGATCGGAACAATATCGTTAAAAATGCTAAAATTACCATCGGATATGTTTTCATTTTCATGATCTCGGCTAGGACGCACCAAACGTTTGGTGGGCCCTACATTTTAGTAAAAGCAACAACGCGTTTCATCCTTTCATGGAATTCGAAAGAAAAAAGTACTTCGTGTACATGCACTGGGGTACACGTGTATCTTTTAGAAAACGCTTTAACCGACTGCGAGTTTTATGGAACAAATTGTTTGAATGGAATTGAAATATCCCGAATCTGAAAGCTAATATTTATTTTCCATCTGTTGTTTTAATATTGAGATACCCAACCGCTCATTTAATTTTGCCGTATAAACTTATCCATAACAAACCAATTAAGGACAAATTACATGTATGCCTACCTGTATTAAGGTGAAGGTATCTAGTATTCTCCAGTATTCAGTCTTCTCTTCTTTTCTTTGGTCAATTTTCTGTTCCTGACCCAAAGGACATTGTCCTTTATATACTCTTCGGCCACCAGTTGTCAGGCATTACTCACGACGTCACGCAAAACTGTTGCCTTGACTACCACTTGCCCAAATTTAGCCGAGCGCATCACACAATTTCCGGTCAACTCATTGTCCAGAAAAAAGATACGTAAACATATTTTCCTACTAACCGAATGACATGTTGTTCTAGCTTAACCGGAACTTAACAAATAGTTCTGTAAGATGGGTGTGTGGTGAAAGTACCAGTGTATTGTACCCGTACATGAAAACATATTTTCCTACACGATATGAAATTCATTTCTATCTTGCAAGAGAAGAAATGAAGTAAAATGAAATGTAAAATGCCTGTATAGTATTGTAAAAAAATTGAAGATGTCTGAGCAGTGGGATATACACGTAGGATCTCACACTGTATATCTTTGTGCCCCATAAATTAGATTGTTTAAACGAAAGTTCAACTGAATATATTCAGGACTTTTTTTAGAATTAGAGTTTATGTATTGTTTAATCTATTTAATCATTTGTTTTCATAAAAAATATATAAGATAAGAATAAAAAAGGTCGTGGATTACGTAATAATATTTTCCTTCCTTTATCTTTCCTCCACATTGATTTTGCTTCAAGTTATTTTCATAAAAAATTGATATAATTTAATAGCAATAATGACATACTATTCCCATTATGTCCAACAACACGTTGCTGCTTATGCTTTCCCTTGTGCGTGGTTTAGATCAATTTACTTTTGTGTTTAAAATCAAACACAAATTCAAGTTTGCGCATTGTACTCTACCGGCAAATCTGACTTTGACAAACACCAATTAAGTCTTTGGTAGCAAACTGCTCCCGATTAAACCACTTTGTTGACTTAATTAAATTAAATCTTATACTAAAAATAATCAAAATGACATCCGTGCAAGTTTGTGTTCTCTCGACATTCTATTTTTAATACTACTATCACTTTGATCAAGCTGTAATAACCTCAACATACGTGAAAATAAAACTATAAATAGTTACTGACTGAAATCTTACATGTATTCTATAAAGTCAATGTCCGACGAAAAGGTCATTGAAAATTACCAGAGGGCACTCAGTCTTTTAAGACACCCTTCAGCAACTAGTAATCGTGGAAGGTGACGCACATCACGAAAGGTCATAAACTTTGCCGAATGGTCAATCACCACATATATTACTGTCAGATGCACAATGGGGTCAGTGCGTTTCATCACGCGATTATTATGTCACGGCGCTTCATGATTGACAAATGACTGGTTCTGTAATCTCTTATTTTATTATTTTTGTCTGTTATTGTTACCACCATCCCGAGGGAAGACAGAGGATTTCGAGATCGGAGCCGGACCTGCGTTGTGGCTTTTGTCCACGCCACGCGGAGTGGTCTGATGACCGTGGGCGTGAGTTAAAGTGGAAGTTTTAACGCTCAGCGTGTTCGTAAAAGATTTAGCCTCCGTGTGGAATGATCAAAAGAAAAATTACAGGACATTTTGTCCACGACTTTTCGCGATTTTGCCAGAAATTGTTCAATATATTTAACTTGCATCTAAAACAAAGAAATTTAAATGTATATGCATCGTATTTAAATATTTATAGCTTTTTAATGTTAGTATTCTTGAATGTCAGAGATAAATGGGAGTCTTTTTATTTTGTTTTATAGTCTTTTTTGTTATAATATCTGCATGGTCCCGGAAAAGAATTGAAGGAATATAAGGGGTAGAAATAAGCATCATTTATTCTTCTGACCCATACATTTTTATATGTATATACTGCTTCGACCTAAAACATGCGACAGATTTTTAGAACCAAAATTAACATTTGTCTTTTTTTTGTGATTTATTCTTCTTTGTTTGTTTTTATTAGGAAAATATCTAAGATAACTCCACCCATGCCAACAGATAATTTACTATGAACGTTCTTCTTTTTATCATCATTTTCAATACTTTAATTATCGCATCATTATTTGTTGATGTTGGATTTTCATTTTTTGTTCAGGTTATAGAGTATATACATGTAGTGTCTCTGTTAGCTAAGCGCTTCCGTTAAACTACCTTGTATATTACATAAATGAAGTCTCCTTATTCTAAAAATAATCTAAATGACCAACACCCACGCGTACTTTGCTTTCCTCACATCCTAGTTTTATTGCTACTTTCATTGTGATCAAGCCAGGAGAAACTCGTTATAAGTAAAGATAAGACTAAGAATAGATAAAAGTGTTATATTGACCCTCGTGCATATAGGACATTAACACAGTGTCCAGTCAAAACGTCACTGTAAATACCTTAAGGGTCCTTAATAACACCCCTTCACAAGGCTGTGATATACCCCTATACAAGAAAGGTCAATTAACGCACATAATTGCCCGGTGCACAACGGAGACAGTGGCTGTCAACTTTTGTTTATTGTCGTGACAATTGATGATTGACTAATGACAGGTGTTGTGTTGTGATGTGATTTTCTGTTGTTCTGGTCTGTTAATGGTACATGAACCACTCCAGCCGGGGGTGGGACTTGAAGAACTAAGGCTGTATTCCCAGAGCTTTTAAATCGATCTATCCCCGCGGGGAGTCCCACTAGATTACTGTCAGATAATCCGGCTTAAATGTCCGTCCCGCCTACTACAAGCTGTAAGGGAGTAATTAACTTTCGTATCCGCCCGGCTGACAGCTATTTAGCTTGAACCCCCAGGGAGTTAGGTCGATCTAAAGTAGATCGATCTAATATCTGGAAATGGGGTCTAAGTGTGCTAAAATCTAGAGGTAATTTACTGTAAGGACACTTTGTCAACATCTTGTTTTTGTCAAAAAATATTTTACTCATATTTAACTGTACATCAGAGAAAATTAAATATATCTGTATCTCATTTGAAATGTAATTTTCATCAAATGAATAAGTCATTGAATTACCGGTATTCACGACAGAGTATAATTTTGTTGCAAATAAGTAAACATGCAGTTTTTGCAGCGGGCGAGTAGTATTTTTAGGTGCGGACCATCCATTCAGAAACAAAACAACAAAAACACGGAGATAACGGTAAAATCATGTACGTTAAGTTGGACAGCAGATGATGTCAGGATTTTCGCCTTCTGCGTGATTTTTCAATGCCTTTTTAGTCTAGTTCTGACGTAAAAAAAAGTAGACATTGCCCCTAAGAGGCATGCTTCTTGGACCTAGGACAGTCGTGGTTGAAAAAATTAGGGGGACTAAGAATCCCCCTCCCCACCTCCTATCTCACGCCTATGCTTCAAATTGGCCTGTTGCTCTCTTTCAATCATCGGCAGCTCTAAGCAATCATCGCGTTGGTTTTTTTTAACTCCGAGCCTATAGCTTGGATTTTATCGATGCGTTTCTTTCTACTTTTAAGCAGTAAAATTTAATTTTATTTTTCGTAGACTTAGTCATTATAAGGGCGAGTACATGTACTACCTCAAACCTGCTGCAAAAACATTACGAATATGATCAGTGCGTTTTCTTCTACTTCATTTCTGTTATATGAATTATTCATTTTGTGCGTGAACAAAGATGCACATTTTTGCTTTTCGACAACCTCCTTCTTAACATTTTCATCATTCATTCATTATTTTAGTACTCTAAGAGACTTTCCGATAACGCACGGAATTTGCCAAAGCATTTTATTCATGTACTGTTGTCCATATGAAAGTAATAGGTAGAAACCTTGTTAAAAACGCTTGTGCCAAATAAACGAATGGTGACAATAATGTGATATTATTAACGTGGGTAACAATATATCAGTCATATTGACATCAGACTGCTTTAGCAACCATGCAGAAAAAAATTAAAAAGCAAAAGATGTAGAGGCTTTTAAATTGTGTCAATTAAGGCTACTACCGTATTTACTGTAAAAATCCCAAATTAATAGGTCAATTATTCTTGGTATACTACTTTTTGCAAATGCTGGCAATAATGTTTTATCAAAAGGTGAAATCTCTGCTCATAATACCATAGAGAAAATACTTCTAACAAAGATATGGAGTCAAACTGAAATTTCCTCGATTACCTGTATGTACCTTTACAGAGTAATCATCCCTCTCCTTTCGCGCTACTGTTGTATAACTTGGCGATTTACGCGTGCTTGCTTATCTTTCTTTAAGTTGCCTGCTACGCCTTTGTAAAGATAGTTCAAAATGCCCATGTGTCCTTCAAAAGAAAAACCCTTTGGTTAAAAAAATGATTTTCTTTTTGTTTACTCTGTAGCCGTAGAATCAGGTCTTTTATAAATAGTGGTTTTATTTTATATGCCCTAATTCGTTATTGATCGTGTTGCTTATCCCCAATCTTTTGCTGCTATTCCTTTTTTTTTCGACAAAATATTGCAAGATTACAGGATGTGAGTGTGATTATTCCACAAAAGCAAATCGTTATACTGTGCAGTTCAAAATTGGGAATACTATCTACAGTTCCAAAAACTTATCATAATCTTGAGGAAAGCTGTCTTCTAACGACTGGACGTCCGTTTACCTTAAAAAAAGCAAAGGCCAAGTCAAAGCGCGTAATTTATTTTCAACTGATATGCTAATATAAAACGTATTTGGTGGTTTTTGAAAATTTAATCTTAAAATTAAAACATATTTTCTTATTCCTTAATCAAGTAAATCAAGTATAAGCATGTGTCCTGCATGTGTCCGGCATCTTTAGTAGTTTATCATGCACCGATACATGTACATGTATATGAACATGATCATGAACTGGCACAATTAATGTCCTTGTCTCAACAGTTGTTTACATAACAAGATGCTGGAAGGCAGGCACGATAATGACATTGCGTTTGTGTTTGCCTGCCACGAAAGATAATGCCCCTGTCATCACCAACTGGTTGACTAGCTACACTGTCACTTTCACTGAGAGATAACCACATTCTAAGTGGACAGTCCATCTCCGACTGCTGCAACCCACTCCAATTTTGCAAATGACCATTCATTAAAAAATCATCAGGTTTGAACAACAATTTGCATTTTTCAAATGGGCACCTTAAAAATTACAAAGACACCTGTAGACTACAGAGAGTTTTATTTATCTCTGTCAACTAAATATGAAAATTGGCGAGTACAAGTACGGTAGTAAATGTTGATTGGCTGTCTCTGTCTCTTGACTGAGTTCATAACTATAGCTAAGGTTGACAAACGAGAAAATTGCCCAAATTCGCCATGTTTTTGTGTGCTTGTGTGAGCTTGCCAAGAACTTCCCGGTAGATTACAACACTGGGTGGGCGGAGTTCGTCCAACCTGGTGGTAATTCTAAACTTTGCTAACGAAATTGAAAATATTGCTAGCTTACACATTATTGGAATACATGCAAATCGTTACAATAGACATGTGGTTGCTGTACACATAGATGTATAGATTGCTGTGACATTTGATTGCTGCGTAGATGGCAAATCTGGCACAGTATCTTTCTCGTACAAATTTGTACACAAATGAACTCAGCCGCACAGGTAAAAAATTACCCTTGTGAAATTTGCCATTGACGCTTACTTCACTACCAATTAAATAAAGTATTAACGCAAAATAAATAATTGCCTTTAAAATTATTGCCCACTTATATTTAGCAGTGTTTCGTAATCTCAAACTGCCAGGGTGACTACATGCATTGTACAGTTTTTCAGTCAGACGCACGTCCGATTGAAAAACTTTGTTTTGATGATTTTCGTATACCATCACTCTGACATATATTCGTTATTTGTCCTTTTCGTGATAACATATCTTTTTGGCAATAACTTGATTGTGTTTCAGAAAAATAAAAAACAATGATGAACTTTTGCAAACAAGTCTAAATCTACTTATAAGGAATGTAATATAATCTTTGGGTAAGAAATGGGCTTACTTATAAGTGATACGGATCACCCTTAGGCTAAAACAATCCATCGCTATTGCGAGATATGGCCAATGACCCGAAAATGTATGCAGTGGGTGCCATCTCAACTACCACAATATATCAGTGTAAGTCTTTGGAGGGGGTGTGCGCAGCCTAAGTGCTTTACTTGTTATAACTTTTTAAATATACTAATCATACAAAAGAGTTAATTGAAACCTTCTCCACTTACGTACGAAAGGCGGTCAGATTTTATTTTAAATTTTGGATGTATTTTGAAATGACGCCAACTTCGAAATCATAAAAACAACTACATGTAAAATAGTTTTTCAACAATTTTATTTCCGTTCAATGGTGGTATTTATTTTCTGCTTCAAAAGCTCCGTTAATATATACAGTATCTGAATAAGGATGTCTGTGCATTACCTTTTTCAAATCAAACTACATTGTTACCTCCAGGCGGAGGAGAGAAATATCAGAGAAAATTTAAATTTTGTCACGTCCATGAGGCGATTAAACGGCTGATAGTCTATGAGTGATGTGTTGTTGTTGAAAAGATACATTATGAATTTCCCCGACGATTTTAAATATACACCCTGATATGAAATACAGACAGTACAACAATTCTTTGGTGATTTCTGATCAATAATGAAGACAGACTCAAGCAAATTATATATCAATTCAAACCGATGTTAAATGTACACTGATTCAGCATCGATACACTTAAACAAAGCAGGCATTTTAGGCTGAGAAAATATTGATTGTCTACCATGTTTGTTGGCCCCTCTCTTGGTCAGTCACACCAGGCTTCAGATTTAATTTTTCTATTACCGATGCAACTATCAAGTTATTATCTCCCAGGCATTTTCGTAATGCCTGTAAGGCCGATAAACTAAGGGCAGCTTACGGAGTTTTGGTTAACCTAATTTTTGGCTCCCCTGCCTCTGTATAACTTACATTTCATAGCCCGTTAATAATATAAATTCAGTAATAAAACAATAAAATCGTAGCAATTGATACCAGAGCCAATACCCCGCCCTGACCCTGGGCTCGGAATTGACCCTGAGTTTGAGGCGCGAATTTAGATTGGCCAACCGAATTTGAACCTGTGCAAGAGGCAGCATTTCTGTATTTTGTCAGATCTTCCCCATTATACGTTGTCTCGGTGGGATACTCTGCGGCAATCACCTTCAACACATCATCTCTGGTGCAGGCTTGGCCATTGCATGGGTTTGCAGGGAGATCACCAGAATCTACTTTGCTTGTTATCATCACAACTATAATATCTGGAGAAACGCCGAAAAGTTTTCCAGTCTTGATATCATCAACAACATCTCCAGTTATAGGAGCTGCTTGGTTGAGGTATGCTTCCAGCTCTGCCTGCGTTGTTATGGAGCCACCAATACATCTGAGAGGAATGCCATCGTAATTTTCGAGAGATGGAAAAGCAACCTTAATTACTGTTAAAACTGAAAATTTGTCCGGAAGGCGGGCGTCGAGATTCAGCGAGACTGCGTTCTCCAGCATCCTGTCCAGTGTCAAACCGTCGGTGACCCAATTTATGACGTTGGTGGTGATTATAGCAGAGTTATATAAGTCAATCATTTCAGTCTTGGAATCCTCCAGGAGTTTCATGAAGGACAACTGGCTCACCAAAATTGAACTCGACGTGACGGTGTCCTTATTCCACGTGGAAAGGAAGTCAGAGATAAAATTGATTTTGGCAGCGTCACGAAGGAAAATGCACAGGGTGTCCTGGCAACTCGGGTCGCCTGCAATAGTGCCATCGGCGGTACTAAAGAGATTGTACAAAGACAAAGTGTTATTCTTGATTTTTGCATAGAGGTTTTTTTCCTCTACGAGAAGATCATCTAATTCTGCCTTTTTCGTTTCCACGCTTGTCTTTGCTTCGTCGAGTTTATTGTTAATTTCTGTGATTTTTTCCTCTACACTTTTGGTTGACGAAATGGTCATGTACAAACAGAGCGCGACGTTCAAGCTTCCACCTACGGTTCCCATGGTAAGAACGTTGCTGACCTTCACTTGGCGTCCTCTCCAATTAAACAAGTTTAAGTTTCTAAATGAAGACCACCCACTTTTGATTCTTTGCGTGAATGTTACTTTTTTGGCAGGCACGTCCCAGTCGAAGTGTTTGAGATTACCGTCGGGTAACTCGGGGGCTGCTGCTTTTACCTTTGCAGCGTAGGCGTCGAACTCGGCGTCTGTGAGAGTTTTGGAGTTTTCCAAGAAATTCCCTGAAACGATAAGAAATTTTTTAATTCGATGTGCTAAATTTTCAGAGTTTTTTTTTTTTTTTTTTTTTTTTTTTTGTAATATTTTGTAATATTATGTCTTTTATATTCTTATTATGTGCTTTGCAAAAAATTGGTGTGGCTGATAAGAAATCTTATCAAATATAAGTAATTTGTAAATAATGTTGAATTAATAAAAAAATAAACAGTTCTCCATATATCTTATAAAGCCTTACCTGTTGCGCCTGCTCTGTTCAAATTGTCAAGCAAATCGGGATGAGTGGCCTTTAACCTCTGGTAAGCATTAACCATAGCAATGTCATTTGGGTTCAGCATGTCTAATCCTAATCTCAATTGCCTTGGAAGATCAGCTTCAGGGATATCATTATCGTACCTGTAAAACCTATCTTGGTCTAAATCTTTGGCTACCTGCACAAAGTCGTCGAATTGTCTCGATGAAAGGCCTTCTGTTCTACTCAAGAAAGAGGTAACGTATCCCTTTTGTTTCAGCGTGTCCAGATAGTCGGGGTCTCTTTGCTGAAGCCAGGCGATTTTTTTGCCTCTCTCAAAGTCGAAGCTTTCAAGGAACTCGGACACCATGGCAGACTGTCCAGCTGGCGTCATAAACTTCCAGAATCGACCCACTTTACCGTTGTCACTCACCGATTGCAGAACCTTCAGTTTCCCCAATTCCGGGGACTCTTGCACGATGTAAAGTCGCCCCTTTGGATTATACGCGAGTTTCATCCTGCCGTTGCCACCAACTATATCCACCACCTGATAGGACTGACTTCTCGTGAGAAAAGCTTGACGGGCAGATGTCACAATATGGCCGGTGTGCAGAGCTACAAGGGGGACTGAAGTCATGATGGCAAACATAACGTAGTCGCGCTCTTTCAGTGAGTCGATTTGGGAACCTGCAGATGCCAGTGTTGCTTTAACTCCGTTCAGGTATGTTTCCAAGTCAATCTGAAATCGTATCCTGATCTCTGTGACATTATCGGTGGCAGAGTCGTAAACTGTGTCCGTTTCTTCTATGACGCTGATTGCCTTCAGTATGCCCATGAGACGAAGATTGCTGGATGTGACCAGTTCAAGATCTTTCTCTATCAACTGTAGATTAGTGATGGCTTTTTCGTCGGTGGAATTCAATGTTGCCCATTCAACTTGTTTCTCCAGGGTCTGGTTCACCAAGGTTGCTATCTCATCTCGTTTGGTTTCCAAATCTTTTAATCTGAAGAAGAATCACTTTTATTAAATATGATCTGGGTAAAACGTTTTTTAATTAACCTTAACTATAATGAAGCAGGACAGAATTTTCCAGTGGGCTTGATTTACAGGATTACTTGACCTCAGTGTAGACTAAATTTGTATAGCCGTCTGCGTAGGCCTCTTAATCAGCTTTACTATATTACATATACATATACATGTTTTCAGAGCGTATACGAATTCATGTTACAAGTGGTCTCACCTTTGACAAGCTCCGGGTGACAAACTGTTACAGTTTGCTAGGGAAGCTAAGTGATTTCCGAGACACAGCAAATCGTCCCAAAAATTCTTAAACACGAATTTCAGTCCAGCTCCTATAATTGCTGTAAGAGAAAGATACCAGTTAAAAAAAGTGCATACAAATGCCCTTTTAAATTCGTTTTACAAGGTGCAGTATAAAATAATGATTGATTGATTTAGTCCAACGAATTAACTTAAATCTCAAACTCTCGATGAAATGTGATAAATTTTACTATACGTACATCTTTTCTGGATGCGGTGATTTGATTCATCAGCTTCGTTATGTGCCAATAACCGCACCTCATCATTAGCCTCTCTTCGCTGTACTCTGACGGCGTATCCAATGGCTGAAATCGAGATGTTATTACTTTGTTAGCAGTTATGTCATTATCGATTTTAAATATCATAGTAAATAATTCTCTATAATCAAAAGTTTTCTATGCGTGGAGTTATTCCTTCAGTGAGGAAGCTTGAAATTATTTCGAATAACGTATAACAGTATTTTAAAAGCTCTCGATGCAAGAAATATTTTTTGGGATAAAATGTTTCTTTATTTGTAAATTTAATACAGATGCAATGGAAGAAATTATTAATTAATATTTTCTTGGCAAGTGTGTCCTTATTAAAATTGAAAATGAAGGAAACACAGAAGCAGGTTGACTGTCGGCTAAGTTTTTACGAAAAGCTACATGTAAATAAAATTTATCAGTACGAACGTTCACCCGTGTAGTGCAACGGGCACCACACCATTACATAGATAAGGAATTTTAATTGACTCACCTGGATGGACGTTTTGCACCAGTAGTAAAGCAGCCATCACGGCCCAAAGACACAATTTGGAATGTGACAGGCTCACCATGATCGCCTGAAAGCAAATGTTTAATAAATTTTATTTTACATACACATATATAAATACATTAAAATACATGGTGATATGGGACAGGCATGATAACGGCTGGAGAAAATAAAGACGGTTAAGTTTCCTAATTCATATCTCCTCATGTCTTTGAAGGCAATCCCTAGGAATATTTGTACATAATAGAATTTAAGGGCAAAAAATAGGCGATATAGTATTCCAGTTAATATAATTTAAACAGATTTAGAGTTAAGTTTAAACCATAGTGTCCCCATTCAGTTAATAGTTGAGCATATCTTGAATGATCCAAAATAGATGAACATGTACTCAATAACTGCTACAGCTTATACAGAAATACTGTAAAATGATATGTGGGTGTACACGCTATCACNCCAATATTGGAGGTAATACCCACATATTTTACAAGCTCTTGATAAAAAGAAAAACAAGAATTTGAATATATACATACAGAGCTAATGAAACTGTTCTCTCTTAATTGTTTAAGTATTGATATTTAACGTCATTTACAAATACCAATAAAATAACCCCATGAAATAAATGAGATATATTGAAAAATATGAAAGCCCACCAAGACGAGTTTCATACCTGTTATTACCTGGCTTGGGAATTGCAGCGGTGCATAATTAACAGGTTTTATTGTTAACGAGCTCTTGGTCAACTACAATGAATTTAAAAATGCATCAGCAATTAGTAAGCTTGCCAACTGATGACAGTATCTAAAAGACTATCAGCTTTTGATATGATCTAAAACACCTGAGGTGACCGAGATCGCGAGGATCGCAACTATTGTCACCAAAGTTAGCAAGTTAGTCACGGAAGACCGTCACAGATAAAGAAAGATAGTCAAGGAGTGCTGCAATTTTGGTGAATCCCACGGCAACACACTGAGGCATAAAGAAAATTGCTCAACTCCGTTCAACACAACTTTCCAAAATCATTCTGTCTGTTTGCACATGCAGCTCAGTTGAGTCTCATAGACCTTTATCCCAATTGTCGTCACAGTACCACGTGACCCAGATCTGTTGCTTCATTTATGCATATTGAGGTGAGGTTTACTAAAACGCTTTTTTACTATTAATAGATTGTTTTTATAATTTTTAAATGGCGGGGATCGATTAAAACATACCTCTAGTGTATAGATTGAGTGCTGAATCTTCAAAATTCGAGAAATGGATTTTTACATGAACATTGTCCTTTAACACGTCCGTTTTAATAGCTTCCCATGCTTCAGAAACGCGCACAAGATGGAAAAATTACACACACGTACATGTACAGTATGCATCTGTTTCTGGCCTAAGGTGTGTACGGCGTCCACCTATGGATCTTTCCAAGAAGTATTTTAACGAATGACATTAAGATGGAACGCGTGTGTCTGTGTCGTGGCGTGTGTCTGGAAAAAACCTACCCTGCACTCTGACCACAGGATCCGCTACTAGTCTGTTACAAAATCATCGTATTTAATTTTGTATAGTATTTTAAAACCTCCTGCTATCAGGGGGTATAGAATTCCAAGAAAGTAGATGGGAATTTCTTGAGAAACAGACAGCGAGAAGTACTGCTCAATAAAGGGATAAGATAGGAATAGGCTGGTTGCTTTTTAGTCAACATGTTAACTTTATCGGCTGCAAGTCCAAAAGTAGAAAAGACTCCTCAACAGAGGGAAAATTTTCTACGTTTTGAATATTGCTTTCCCCTTAGATGGTTCATAATATGACCGAATAAACTTTGCAAAAAAATACAAATAAATGTTTCCATACCTGTTTTCTCCAAGTGGTGGTGTCCAGTATCTGTCTATTCTTCTTTACTTTGGTCAATATTCTGTTGCTCCCCCAGAGTGTCCAGTCCAATTATATACTACTTGGTCACTCCTATTGTTTGGCATGACTCATGACTTGGCTATCCGACCGCGTCACCCGAGTTCCGGTCAACCAATGTCCAGTAAAAAGGTGCAGGTATGAGGATATCCCGGCCCCCTGCTGACCAATTGACACGATATTACCGAATCTCACCTGTACAAAAGAAAGGGGGGCGGGCAACGATACAGGTCACACCGAAACTAAATTACAGGGGTACAATGTACAGTACAAGTAATGTATATACCTTTGTTGTGATACGGAAGTTCAAGCAGTGTTAATGAGACCTAGAGGGGAAGAATGGTTTAAATCCAAGATTTCTTAACGAGTGAAACGTTTTAAGATATTTAAAGGTTTTAGTGTGTTTGTAATAATCACAACATACCTCACGTTGAATAAATTGAAAATTTTAACCTTAACTTTAATTATGTATTTTAAAAAGTTTTTTAAAAAGTAAACCAAGACTCCATTGTCAAGGTCCGTTGCTAATAGCCTGTTATGCATTTTAATGAGTTTTTCTACTTGCACACGGCGAAAACAGGCCCACAACTACCAGTAAATCAAGACTCCATTGTCAAGGTGCGTTGCTAATAGCCTGAGGTGAAGGGAGCAAAGCAAAGTGAAATGACAGTAAATGAGTGAAAACCCTATTATCTCAGCATTATCAGACGGGAAGTGTTACGTCAGATATAGCACTGCAGACGTCACGGTATCATTATCTTTAGATCGCCGTTGTTTGGACTTCCTTGTCGTCATCCACTATAAAGAGCCATCAAAACTGACACTTTCAATTACTGAAAATATCTACAAATTTAAGCTGGTAAGGAAACCAAATACTCTGCTACAGGTACAGAGTTTTTTACCGGAGATACAGTGTAATTTCCTGAAACAAATATATAATCACTCCTCTATATATAATAACAAAATAAAAGACAGTTATGAAATAAGCAAAGATTAAGGTGCGAACCAAATTGTAGGCCTTACACCTTCCGATAAAAGTAGAAAGAAAAACATAAATATGTTAGCTCTGTAACAAAAGATGAAGAAGGTGGTAGAAGTGATGGCATACATGTACCTGACAACCTGACAAAGAGGGAGATTTCCCTGCGCGACCTCCAAGGTACTGCACATAGAATCAGTAGGCTTACCTCTTCCACCCCGACACACACACACACATACACACTTTTTATTTTGAAATAAACTGTTTTCAGTGCTTCAGAAAGAAATAATTTTATTAAATAGTTGATAAAATTTTTAAAACGAAAGACATAGGAAATACTGTTGATTGCAAAATAAATATTATGTTATCACAGCAGAGTGGCGCAGTGGAAGCGTGCGGGGCCCATAACCCCGAGGTCCTAGGATCGAAACCTAGCTCTGCTAGATTTCGTGTTTTGTCACGAAATGCTTCAAACCGCATTTGCTCTGTCTTTGATCAGAAGATAATTAATTGAATCAAATGTTTGATACGTAAAATAATTTTTAAAAAAAATCGACCAGTGAAATTAAGAAGGCAGTCCGCGCCGATCAGTACGCCGTGGACGCACACCCTAAGAGACTTTTAAAGAGTACATGCTGATGCCAGTTGGGTATCATTCTGATGACATTCTGTAGCGGAATTCAGTTAACTTGTCTACCTCTATAGGCTAATTAGATTTACATAATGTCCATCCAAAGATTCTTGTGCACACGCACTCATTCTCAGTAAATAGGTCCATTTCACATTTTTTATTTTATTAAAAGCAAGTGAAAAAATAATTTGTCCTAGTGGAACTTATTGAAAATCAGTTTAGCAAGTTAAATTATAAAAATAATAATTGATTTAGCTGTTCTAACGCAAAAAAAAACATAAACGGACTAAATTTTAAACATTCGTTATTGTCGCTCAAAGAACCATCTCACATTTTCCAAGCGATCTACTTCTTTTTTGATTAAGTAGAGAACCTGCAACTTGTCATAATCAGGAAGCGAGAGCGGTGTCTAACATCTCAGAATAAATTTTAAATGTTTATTTCAAATAAATAAATAGCTTACATCTATATCCATGGTGTCACCGGATTTTTAAAAATTGAAAAACCAAATCATCATTTTTAGTTGCTTGATTTTTTGTAATATTTTAGCCATTAATAATCCTCAGTTATTAGTTTTATCCATTATAAGTAAGAATATATGGAAACAGGAAGCTGACAAATGTGTTACACGAAACACGGCAAAACTGAGTTCTCATAGAAAGTATAATTTGAAAAACTTTCGAATTCTTTACAAGACATTGTAAAAAAATATATAGTTGCGATTGAGGACAAAATGTATCAGTAAAATTAACGTGCATCTCGTAATGCCCCTTTATTGCAGTCTTATTCTTGTTAATGGTAATAACGTGCGAATATTATCGAAATTAAGGGTTGTTATTTTTAAAACTTTCATTGCCAAATAGGCTAAAAATTCGTTACTGCGTCCCCATACTAGCAAGGCATGACTTTTAAAATGTACACTGATTGAAAAAAAACTACATTTATCACTTTCTGTTATCAGAGATTTAAAAAAAAGAGGATTCGCAACAAAATCTTAAACGCCATTTTCACTTTTCTGTTTTCTTGAAGAATTTACTCAAGATCAAAAGACAGAATTTCACACATTAAAATACACAATCAAAATAGTCAACAGGCCCTGACTCTGAGAGTGCTCCACCAGTTGCACATAAAGTCAAATGTTTTGTTGTAATAACAAGCGCATCTTTCCTTTAGAATGAACATATTTCTGATCAGTGTTTCTCATTAATAAGAATAACAAATAGAAGAAAATTACTTTTAAAATAATTTAACATTTATTTTTTCCCTGAAAAATTGCAATCAACACCGGTTCCTGTACAAAAACTATCAATAAATATCCTTTAAGCATAAAATATCGGGACACGTTTTAGATTGGAAGAATTACAAAATATTATAACTTTATAATATAACTATAATAAAAGAACCAGAATAAAAACGGCACCTTTGGTTCTATGTGTATCTGAGCTTCTGTAAACAATAAATCCTATATGAAAAACATTAATACCTCAGAAGTGGGTTACATTTCAGTCGCCAAAGAAACATTTTCACAAATAAACTCGATATATTAGTTTAAAAAATTCGGAAAGTGAGTTTCTAAACATGTGTATTGAGCTCTCTCGATATTTTATGCACAGTAAATGACACTAATAGATCACAGATTATTATTAAATGGCATATCCGCTTTTAAAACTCTTATACTTGGGACATGGATTCAACAATGAGCCTCTAACAAGTGGCAGTGTTTTTGAATGCTGCCAAGGCTATCCCATAATACTCTGTTTCATCGGGATACTCTGCGGCAATCACCTTCAGCACATCATCACTGGTACAAGCTTGGCCATTACATGGGTTTGCAGGGAGATCACCGGAATTCACTTTGCTTTCTATCATCCCGACGATACCATCTGGAGAAATGTCAATAAGTTTTCCAGTTTTGATGTCATCAACAACATCTCCAGTTATAGGAGCTGCTTGGGTCAAGAACGCTTCAAGTTCTGTTTGTGTTGTGATGGAAGTGTCAATACAGCTGAGTGGAACTCCGTCGTAGGAAGTGAGCGACGGGAAAGCGACCTTGATTATCATCAGGACGGAGAAATGATCGGGAAGACTGGCGTCGAGATTCAGCGAGACTGCGTTTTCCAGCATCCTGTCCAGTGTCAAACCGTCGGTCACCCAATTCATGACGTTGGTGGTGACTGTGGCGGAGTTGTATATGTCAAGCATTTCTGTCTTGGAGGACTCCAGGGCCGCCATGAAATCCAATTGACTAACCAGAATTGTACTCGAGGTGACCGTATCATTATTCCACGTAGCAAGGAAGTCGGAGATAACCTGGATTTCGGCAGCATCACGGAGGAATGTACACAAGGTGTCCTGGCAACTCGGGTCGTCTGCAATGGTGTTATCGACGGTACTAAAGAGATTGTACAAGGTGACGGTGTTGTTCTTGACTTTTGTATAGAGGTCTTGCTCCTCCACAAGAAGAGCATCTAGCTCTGCCCGTTTCTCTTCCACGTTCACCTTGGATTNGATTACCGTCGGGTAACTCGGGAGCTGCTGCTTTCACCTTTGCGACGTAGGCGTCGAACTCAGCGTCTGAGAGTGCTTTGGAGTTATCTAAGAATTTACCTAAAACCAATAACAAATAGAATTTTGATGTTTAATTGGTGTGTGAGTTTTTTAGAGTTTTACAAATGGAAAATCATGAAACAAACAGTTGGCCTGAAACGTTTTAAAGAGGTTTGTTTTCTGGCAGTTATACAGCACCACCCATTTTGTTACAATATATGTAATTTTATATGGAAGTTTATGTAGTTCTGGCGTCCCTGATAAACATCGTTTTCAATTAATAATAAAACTGACATATGCTTCTCAATTTATTTAACTGCTGGAAAGCGAAATAATCCAAACCAATTAATAAACAGTTTCCCAACAATCTATCCAATTCTTACCTGTTGTGCCAGCTTTATTCATACTGTCTAGCAGGTCAGGGTTATAAGCCTTCAGTCTTTTGTATGCATTGACCGCAGCAATGTCATTTGGGTCCAGAAAGTCTAGGCCTACTTTCATATTCTTTGGAAGATCAGCTTCAGGGATATCGATATCGTACTTGTAGAACTTATCTTGATCTAAAACTGCGGCTTTCTTTACAAAGTCATCTAACTCTGTTGTTGTAAGACCATCTGTTCTACTCAGGAATGCACTCATATACCCCTTTTGTTTCAGTGTGTTCAGATAGTCGGCGTTATTTTGCTGGAGCCAAGCAATTCTTTTGCCTCTCTCAAAGTCAAAGCTTTCAAGGAACTCGGAAACCATGGCAGACTGTCCAGATGGCGTCATGAACTTCCAGAACCGTCCAACATTCCCTGCGTCATCGAGCGACTGCAGAACCTTCAGTTTCCCCAATTCTGGAGAATCCTGCACGACGTAGAGTCGCCCTTCTGGGTTATACGCGAGTCTCATCTTGCCGTTGCCACCAACGATATCTACCACTTGATAGGACTGGCTTCTCGTGAGAACAGCTTGACGGGCGGATGTTACAATGTGGCTGGTGTGCAGAGCTACAAGGGGGACTGCTGTCATGAGAGCAAACATTACGTAGTCGCGGTGTTTTAAAGATTCGATTTGGGAATCTACAGATGACAGTGATGCTTTGATTCCGTTCAAGTAGGTTTCCATCTCAATCTGGAAACGTACTCTGATCTCTGTGACATTATCGGTGGCCGAGTCGTAAATATCGTCTGTTTCTTCTATGACGCTGATTGAATTTAGTAAGCCCATAAGACGAAGGTTGCTGGATGTTACCAGTTCCAAGTCTTTTTCAATTAGCTGTAAATTAGTAATGGCTTTTTCGTTGGTAGCATTCAATGTTGCCCATTCAACTTGTGTCTCCAGTGTCTCGTTCACAAGGTTTTCAATTTCGCTGCGTTTGGTTTCTAAATCTTTTAGTCTGAAAATGATTCAATTGTAAATAAGTATGAAAATGTTATGAAATGTGACTTTTCATAACGACAGTTTTTTTTAAAAATGTTTCTGTATAGGCCGTATAGAAAAGCATTTTTGTGTATACACGCTGGGTAGATTACCACTTGACCACAGTTACATGATAGTGTTTGCATATTAGCAAAGAGATCGGTCACAATGTGAATTATCATTTTATAAAGTTCTATTGGAAGTCCATTTTACAGTTTGCGGAGGTTCATGGCTACCTTTACAACTATATGGTTGAAGGTTTGGCGGCTTTGATGAGAGTGCGAGTATGCAAAGGGGTTAATTTTTTCCTTTCACAGCTTCGTTTTCTGTTAAAATCTCGAATTCCGTTTGTCTTACACATTAATGCCAACAATCAAATGATTAATTATTTAAATATCACATTTTAAAAGACCTATGCACATTCCTAAGCGATGATGATTATGAGATATTCAGAGGATATCCGTAAATGTGCAATTTTATATGGCTTGGTACAGATTGTTAACTTTTCTAGGACGACCTGTTAGTTCTTTTAAATTCGTGTCCAGTAGGACTTCTACCCAACGTTAATGTATATGATCCCTTAATTGTACTACCGTAGCTGTCAATTCTACCATGGCCATGTCTTTGACCTCTCCTTCAATACTGATAAGTAAGGAGAAAACAGATACTGCATTTTATCGAAAGATTTACTGCATTTGTATAGCAGACGACCACAACTGGTAATACAATGTATCATAGTCATACCAAGTAGGACGCAAACCTACCTTTGGCAAGCTCCAGGTGACAAACTGTTGCAGTTTGTTAGGGTCGTTAAGTGCGCTCCTAGACACAGCAAATCATCCCAGAAATTTTTTAATACGAATTTCAGACCAGCTCCAACAACGGCTAAAAGGGAAAATCATATCACTTAAAACTCAATAACTATGCTAGATCAACTAAAGCAATGCTACAAGTTTCATGTACTGACAGATTTTTAAAAAACCCGTTTAATACGTTCCGAAAGATGAAGATAAAACGGTTGCAAATTAAAATACAATTAAAATACAAAATTTAAAATCGCCAATTAGCACGTTCACTGTACAATGTATGTGCATAATCTAAAAATACGTACATCTCTTTTGGATGCGGTGATTTGATTCGTCAGCTTCGTTATGTTCCAATAACTGCGCGTCATCATTAGCCTCTCTTCGCTGTACTCTGATGGCGTATCCTATGACTGAAATAAAGGAGAAGTATTAGCTTTGTCCATTTATTCTTTGAAACTTAAAACTTAATTTTTCGATCAATGTGGCCTAATCGGGTAATACTAAACTAGGATTGTAAAAGACCCACAGGCACAAAAGCCTTAAAACGTCGAATATTTTGACTGAAGTAGGTTTCTTTATATATATATGGCATTCACTCACCTGGATGGAAATTCTGCACCAACAGCAAAGCTGTCATCACGGCCCAAACATACAGCTTCGTGGTCTTTGACAGGCGGACCATGATATTCTGTAAGCAAATATTCCATAAATGTCAGAATGTATATGTACATGTATGAAATCATGAAATTTGCTATGTGAGATATAAAGATTATCGTTGATATTCAGAATGTTGCTGTAGTGAAGCAGCTCATATTTTGTTGTTTTTTTATCACGCAGATGCTGCAAAGACCCCCAAAATTACGCTAACAATAAATTCTGTACAGGCAAAATATATTTACAAATGAAATATAGGAGCTAGAACGAAGCAATCAATTTGGTATGTCCAAGACACCAGCAAATACATATGTTATCCTTAGGGCAAATGTATCCAACGTGGGCCTGTTGTAAGAATATTGTTTTGGATATGACATACCAAATTACGAAAACGATAGCTTCTTTCATTTAGCTTATCATAGAAGCCTTACTATAACCAAGTAAACTACAGTATGCCCAAAATATGACAGTCACAAAAAAAATAAATGAAAAAATGTTTGCTTACCTGTATTCTCTCAAAATTTATATATGCTCACTATTGTTCTTCTCTTCTTCGCTTCTTTCAGTGTTTGATGCTGGGTTTAGCGGCGCTGTCCATTTATACTCTCTGGTCAAGGATGCAGTTTCGCCGCTCTCACGTCTTGTGGTAAAGGATGGCCTAAATTGCCATGGCTACAATCTGCGTAAGTCATCAGTGCGTGGTAAACGACTTCCGGACAGTCCACTGTCCAGCTAAATTTTATTTACTACATTTACTTAATACCTCTATGACACGATGCTGGGCCAGGCATGTTATGATGCGATCCCTGTATTGCTATTTTGTACCTGAGATAAAAACAAAGTAAACAAACCTCAATTTTGGCTAAATTATATTCCGTGCCTTTTTCTTATTTTTAGAAACACCGCTATTAAGTGTTATAGAAACTGTGACTAATTTTTTTTTATTTATTTTTTATTTGTCTTTGAACCTCTTCTGTAGAATATCTGCAATATCACAATAGATTTTATTCTATTAAGTTAGTTTTATTCTATTAGTTTCACTAAAGCACTTTGTGGATAAAATAAGGTGGTGGTGGGGGAGGGGGGGGTGGGGCACTGTTGGCAACCTTACATTCGGGGGAAACCTTCTTCTCCCTCCCCCCTTTTTCCGATAAACCCAACAACAGTGCACCTGGCTAAAGTTGACAAGACAAAACAATTTTGGCATCCCTGTGCCATGCAAATTTCAGCAAAGTTGTTCTCGTTTTTATTTTGCGTTTACCGTAGGTAGCGAGAATTCTTTTATCCTCCCACTCCTTAGATGAATATTGTGCCACGTTCATTGTTATTTTAATTTTGAAAATAATTGGTGTTATAAAACTAACAAACGTAAGCAAGCATGTTTTCGTGACATGTTTTGATTATTCTCACTATAAATAGATCATGACGTATGTACCCTGTTTATGGAAAATAGGGTCACTATATTTATAACAGACCGGTGATGACTATAGGACACGCAGTCTGTAGCCTGTCTGCTAAAATATAGGTCAAATAAAATAAGAAATGTTACTGTATATTAATTAAAATATTGACAACAGTGGGTGTTATCTTCTGCTTATTTTTACGATTAGTGATGAGTGACAGTTATTGTCAACATTATATTTAAGATGTGATGTATATTCTGTACTCGTACATTATGTACACTTGGTGACCGGCGGAAGGCATTAGTTTTGTTTTTCGGCAAACTGACCACGTGCCACTGTGCCGCACCGTTTCGCAGACCTGGGTCAAGATGTTAAAGTAAATAACAAAAGGATAATACTAGCCTACATTTTATTTTTGTTGATCTCAAAATAAACATTCTGTGGTTTATACAGCTAAAAATAGGAAAATATTTTTCTTTCTTATAATGCTATGTATATATGTAGTTTACATGTATGTTTCAATAAATGAGATATACAGGTATGTATACGCAAAAGCAAGGGCTATTTGTTAATTCTCCAATTTTCAGTTTTTGGTTTAAATAATTTTAATTATAATTTTAATTATAAATTGAAAATTCCATCACTTAACGGTTAAAAATAGGCGTAAGCCCAGTCCCAAAACGTTTGTTCTATGCCCCATTTGAACCGTTCGGCGAAATCACTTTTATAGAACCCAAATGTTGAACCCAGTTGTCAAATATATCAAGTAGAAGTTATAGGCACATAAAACAACATCCATTACCGCCGATATTGCATATAGAAATTTCATGATATTAAAAGAAAAATTGCTCAGCGCTTAGTGTCTATTTAAAATTATTGAGCTAAGTATAAAGTGCGTCCAACTCGTTTCAATAATTTAATCATAATACCTCTAACGACCACCATTTATTAATAAAAAACAGTAAAACTGCAATACATGTTAGGGGTGGAGTGGAGAATATTCCTTATATATGCACGAGATGCTAACCATTTGTGCCTCGGGAACCGCATAATGGAATGTTTTGTTATTGTTTCAAAATTTAATCCTTAACTGTGCAGCACTCTCTTTAACCCTGCTCTGTTATGGCCATTACGTTTATATAATTAAACTCCCGTATTTTGCTTATAATTTGTCTCATTCTGGCATGAGGATAATATTTCAATGGCACTAGACAATGTACTGATTGGAGATCAGGTGTTGCTTTCTGGTAATTAACGTATCTGTTAGCCCCCCCCCCCCCCCACCCACCCATCCTAAAGCCACGTGAAGCCAGGTTACCGTCTAATCAATTCTTTAACTAGCATTTAATTACGGTGATCCCGACTAGTGTAAAATCCTGCGTCGAATGACTTGAGCGTATTTAACAATACCGGGAGGCAGGGTGGAGTTTTCCAAATAAATCATTTTGTGTTTGTGTGCGTGTGTGAGTGTGGGGCGGGGGGAGGTTACGGAAACTAAACTGACCCAATCAAAAATCACATTTCACACAGAGTGCTTGTTCCTATATGTTTAGGCAGACCAAACTGTCTCAGTGTCGGGGAGACAGCTACCGGGGTTGTGTCTTTTGAAAGGCGCATAAGACAGCAATATGCATTTCAAAAGTCGCTTGCCAAACCCGTAAAGATAAACGAATGCAAACGACAGAGCCCATAAAGCTAATAGGTTTGTATTTATAACAGCACACAAGAAAATACACGGAATATATGTCATGAAGTCGAATTTACTGACATACATATATCTGTATAGAAAACCGGTCACATGACGTTTCCCTTATTGAAACGCGTTAACTTGCCCCATGATTGCAAATAATGGCATGTCTGTGAATTATTTTGATTAAACTATCTCAGCCTGTTATGTGAATAAATTTAGCTCTCGCACCGTGTGAAGGCCTCTAAATCGGTAAGTTTGCTCAGACATCGTTGATTACACTACTTCTGCAGTTTCGTACTGGAAGTAGGTCACGCGTTGTGTAACATGCTGTTCAAAGTAATTTTTGTGCTTCTAATCCAAATTAAAACCAGAAATGATAATAAGGTCGTCCAGTCGGCAAATTCGTGCCTCAGCTTTCTAGGAAACAACATTTGTACCAGTATAATGAAACTGAAGAGTAGTAGAGGGTTGTTCAAATAATGGGGCGCAGCGACAATTAGGCACAGAGCGTACGTCGTGGAGAGTACTAGAATATTAATAGACATAATAAAAATAGAAAAAAAGGCCAGGGAGTTGCTTTTTCATCAATTGTTTTTCTTTTTTCTAAATTATTAGAAAGAGACTATACGCAGTAGATACATTAGAAAGTCACTTGCGTTGGCGGGCGAATAACGCCAGTAGGTACATTTGTGTCGAGCCATATGTCGAGAAATATAACATGGACATTTGCTGCTAAACTTACGGCGGGGTTAAGACAAGCTGACTCCTTTTCGTTTAAACAATATACACCATTGTTTAATGCCTGGAGCTTCTCAAAAAGTTACTGTACCGACAGTCCAATAAAACAAAAAAAGCTTCTCGGTCCGTTCAAAAAGTTGTCGGACTCTGGCTGCTTGGTAAAACTAAATATTGTACGTGACATCTTGTTTGACTCTAAGCCTGTTATATGCATTTTCCATACCCAGTTGTGAAAAAAGCTCAAGGTACCGCTCGTAAACGTTTCAAAGTGGTCAGAACGAAGTGTCGAGTAATTGGTTGGTGTTAAGTTTCTTTTGACACTAGACAGGATTGATCAGCCCACTTTTTTTTTTCAAACCTGAGTTCTTTGGAAATGCAAACATGTGAATTCCAGACCCTTTGGTGCCTTTTTAGCGCAACACACTTCAACCTTCAACCTTCCCTAACTTCACTGTATCAGCTGAAATCAAAGAACCTTGGCTTGTATGTCGTCACAGTACCAGGTGACCCAAATCTGTCGCTTCATTTTTGCATATTTAGGTGAGGTTTTCTAAAATGCTTTTTTTCCTCTGATAGATTATTTTCTATACTGTCTATAGGGTGGGAATCGATTCAAGCATATCTCTAGTGTACAGTGTGGATCTACAAAATTCGAGAGATGGAGTTAAACGCAAATCCTTTAAGTGAAATATGTAATGATTAATGATCATTACATATTTCACTTAAATATGTAATGATTAATGATCGATTTAAACACACATACAGATATGGACATCCGAAAGCTGAAGTTTCACTTAGAGAATATTTCTGTGTGGTTGTTCTCTGAATCATGAGACTAATCGAATGATCAAAGATCGTCAATATTTTAGCACATACCGACAACGTCACGTCTCGAATCCGCAAGAGCAAGATTGAAGGAAGCCTGACACATATATAATTAAACACTGATTTTGTTTTTTAAGCTAACAACATAATTACAGGTTTAAAAGCAGCGACAGTGCCTACAGCTGTAAACGACCATCGTTGCCCATCGTAATCCCTCTATCATTATCACTTTTAAAAAATATTTTAGCCATTTATAAAATCCACAGATTAGTTTTATCCATTATGAGCAAGAGTAAGTCTATATGGTGACAGGACATAGTCAAATGTTTTAGACGGAACACGGCAAAACTGCACTCTCATACATGTAGAAAGTAATTTGTAAAACCTTCTTTACCAGGCATTGTGAAAAAAATACTTGAGGTTGAGGACAAAATGTTTCAGTGAAATAAACGTGCATCTCTTAATACCCCTTTTGTTAGTAGTAATAACATGCCAATGTACCGTAAAAGGTTGCCATTTTCAAAACTTTCGTTGCCGAAAATGCTAAACCTTCGTTACTTCGTCCCCATACTAGCAAGGCATGAAGCCCTACATTTATCACTTTGTCATCAGAGATTTAGAAAAAAATAGAATTCGCAACTATAACTTTACCTCCATTTTTCACTTATCCGTTTCTTCAAATGGCCTTTAAGTCTAGAATAAGTGATATTTGAAGTGTAACCATTAAAACATTTACTCAAGATCAATAGATAGAAATTCACACATTAAATTCACAAACAAAATAGTCAACAGGCCCTGATATTGAGAGTGCTCCACCTGTTGCACATAAAGTCTAATGTTTTGTTGTAATAACAAGCCTAACTTTCCTGTCGAATCAACATATTTCTGACTAATGTTTTGCGTGTATAAGAATAACAAAGAAAAAATAAGAAACAAGGAAATTATTCAAAAATTATTTAACATTTATTTTCTTCCGAAAAATTGCAATCAACACCGGTTCATGTACCAAGATTATTAAGAAATAACCTTTTAGCATCAAATATCGGAAAAAGTTTTAGATTGGGAGAATAAAAAATATTAAAACTTTAAAATATAATAAAAATAACCCCAATGAAAATGGCACTCATGGTCCTATATTTATCTTATGCATAGCAAAAACACTTATGGATCACAGAAATTATTATTAAATGGCATATCCGCTTTTAAAACTCATTTACTTGGGACATGGATTCAACAAAGATGAGAAATCTCTAACAAGTAGCAGTGTTTCTGTATGCTGCCAAGGCTATCCCATAATACTCTGCTTCGTTGGGATACTCTGCGGCAATCACCTTCAGCACATCATCACTGGTACAAGCTTGGCCATTGCAAGGGTTTGCAGGGAGATCAGCGGAATTAACTTTGCTTTCTATCATCCCGACGATAACATCTGGAGAAACGCCAAAAAGTTTTCCAGTCTTGATGTCATCAACAACATCTCCAGTTATAGGAGCTGCTTGGACCAAGAACGCTTCAAGTTCTGCCTGTGTTGTGATGGAAGTGCCAATACAACTTAATGGAATTCCATCGTAGGAAGTGCGCGATGGGAAAGCGACCTTGATGATCGTCAGGACGGAGAAATGGTCGGGAAGACGGGCGTCGAGATTCAGAGAGACTGCGTTCTCCAGCATCCTGTCCAGTGTCAAACCGTCGGTCACCCAATTTATGACGTTGGTGGTGACTGTGGCGGAGTTGTATATGTCAAGCATTTCCGTCTTGGAGGACTCCAGGGCTGCCATGAAAGCCAACTGACTAACCAGAATAGTCCCAGATGTGACGGTATCATTATTCCACGTAGCAAGGAAGTCAGAGATAACCTGGATTTCGGCAGCGTCACGGAGGAATGTACACAAAGTGTCCTGGCAACTCGGGTCGTCTGCAATGGTGCTATCGACGGTACTAAAGAGATTGTACAAGGTCACGGTGTTGTTCTTGACTTTTGTATAGAGGTCTTGCTCCTCTACAAGAAGAGCATCTAGCTCTACCTGTTTCTCTTCCACGCTCACCTTGGCTTCGTCGAGGCTACTGTCAATGGTTTCGATTCTTTCCTCTACACTTTGGGTTGACGAAATGGTCATGTACAAACAGAGCGCGACGTTCAAGGAACCGCCAATAGTTCCCATGGTAAGAACATTGCTTATCTTCACTTGACGCCCCCTCCAGTTAAACAGGTTAAAGTTTCGGAAAGATGACCAACCACTTTTGATCCTCTGCGTGAATGTTACTTTTTTGGCAGGCGTGTCCCAGTCAAAGTGCTTGAGATTACCGTCGGGTAACTCGGGAGCTGCTGCTTTCACCTTTGCGACGTAGGCGTCGAACTCAGCGTCTGAGAGTGCTTTGGAGTTATCTAAGAATTTACCTAAAACCAATAACAAATAGAATTTTGATGTTTAATTGGTGTGTGAGTTTTTTAGAGTTTTACAAATGGAAAATCATGAAACAAACAGTTGGCCTGAAACGTTTTAAAGAGGTTTGTTTTCTGGCAGTTATACAGCACCACCCATTTTGTTACAATATATGTAATTTTATATGGAAGTTTATGTAGTTCTGGCGTCCCTGATAAACATCGTTTTCAATTAATAATAAAACTGACATATGCTTCTCAATTTATTTAACTGCTGGAAAGCGAAATAATCCAAACCAATTAATAAACAGTTTCCCAACAATCTATCCAATTCTTACCTGTTGTGCCAGCTTTATTCATACTGTCTAGCAGGTCAGGGTTATAAGCCTTCAGTCTTTTGTATGCATTGACCGCAGCAATGTCATTTGGGTCCAGAAAGTCTAGGCCTACTTTCATATTCTTTGGAAGATCAGCTTCAGGGATATCGATATCGTACTTGTAGAACTTATCTTGGTCTAAAACTGCGGCTTTCTTTACAAAGTCATCTAACTCTGTTGTTGTAAGACCATCTGTTCTACTCAGGAATGCACTCATATACCCCTTTTGTTTCAGTGTGTTCAGATAGTCGGCGTTATTTTGCTGGAGCCAAGCAATTCTTTTGCCTCTCTCAAAGTCAAAGCTTTCAAGGAACTCGGAAACCATGGCAGACTGTCCAGATGGCGTCATGAACTTCCAGAACCGTCCAACATTCCCTGCGTCATCGAGCGACTGCAGAACCTTCAGTTTCCCCAATTCTGGAGAATCCTGCACGACGTAGAG